TATCATTTAGTTAGACTGTACGGATGACAGATTTTTGACAAGAAATGAGGGGATTGATTCAATTTGCAAACTGCTGAGGTGTGGCCAATACAAATGTGCTGTGAACAACCACGCAGTAAGCAAACATTTCACACTTTCTCCCCCTAACAAGTACAACATTTGACATTAAATCATGTTTAATATTGCACAAACACAAATTTAACCCTGTTATCTTTCCAACGCATTGGTTATCTTGGAGGATGTACCCACAAAACTGTTCTACTGCCAGCCACACCAAAGCTGTCTTCCCTGGAGCGGTGCATCAGAAGCTCTGTCCTGTTCCTTCATTTGGCCTGTCCTGTCTACAGCACTGCTACATGTTGTTAGTGATTGTGGGAGAGTGCTGTGGGAATAGGCCAAAAAACCTTCACCAAGAGCTTGAAAAACAAAACGGGAGCTTTTCCTCTGAGCAGGGTTTTCATTTTTGTGTACACTGTGTAAATCCTTTTTGTCATGATCAGACCTGAACTCATCAAACTCCTCATTTTATTACATTTGAAAAGGTGTCTCTTGCTGATCTATTCAGTTATTATTGGTTAAGTGGACTCATCAAACACAAATGCGAAAGTCATTTAAACTTCCATAAATTGTTTCAGAAGAAAACTGACTTAATGGGACAGTAAAAGTTGTATTATTTATTCTTTATCATTTAAATATTTTTTATTTGCATTTTCTTATGTATTAAATAGAGTCATTCTTTATTAGAATACAATGGGCATAATATACATAATATTTATGCTTATGCTTTCATGGAGCAATCCAAGATGGCCGCGAGTGGTCCCGCCCACAAGAAAATTGTGAAAAAACGCATCTGCGCATGCGTCAGCCGGCGCAACTCCATTCATTTGAACGAGAGACTTCAAAAATTCCCCGCGAGTAAACTAGAGTGGACCAAAAAAAATCACCCCCCTCAGCATTGACACACATGTGGAACGGAGCTTTGGGCCAAGAGCCAACTTTTGGTCCATCCTGTAAAGACGTTTTTGAGAGGTCTGCTAACGCTATATGTTAGCATTGGTTAATTCTTCTTCTGGGTCCACCCCCAACGGCCCGGGGTGGTATTGCAAGCATGTCAGCGCACGTCATTTTGGCCACTTTTGAGCCGGGACCCGCCCCCACTGGTAAAACCCCAACAGGTGGATTCCATCTGTTATCAGTGCTTAGAAGCTACATGTCTCACATTCAGGAGAATTCTGTGACCGTAATGGTTGTAACTTTATTAGACCACTAATAGTGTATATCATACTGTCCCTTTAAGTGATTCATGGATGTCCCACAAAGGACGCATTTACACTTGGTCTGAATCACTTCAACTGGATCCTCTCTGGTTCACATGGGGAAGAAACAAAGTGAAAAATCACCAAACAAGTGAACATGTTCTATAGTCACTTAAGTCTGACTACATGTGCTGTGACCAGTCCTGCTCCACACAGAGGCTGCACCACCTCTGCTGCTGTGACCAGTCCTGCTCCACACAGAGGCTGCACCACCTCTGCTGCTGTGACCAGTCCTGCTCCACACAGAGGCTGCACCACCTCTGCTGCTGTGACCTGTCCTGCTCCACACAGAGGCTGCACCACCTCTGCTGCTGTGACCTGTCCTGCTCCACACAGAGGTTGCACCACCTCTGCTGCTGTGACCAGTCCTGCTCCACACAGAGGCTACTCCACCTCTGCTGCTGTGACCAGTCCTGCTCCACCCAAAGGCTACTCCACCTCTGCTGCTGTGACCAGTCCTGCTCCACACAGAGGCTGCACCACCTCTGCTGCTGTGACCAGTCCTGCTCCACACAGAGGCTGCACCACCTCTGCTGCTGTGTCCAGTCCTGCTCCACACAGAGGCTACTCCACCTCTGCTGCTGTGACCAGTCCTGCTCCACCCAGAGGCTACTCCACCTCTGCTGCTGTGACCAGTCCTGCTCCACACAGAGGCTGCACCACCTCTGCTGCTGTGACCAGTCCTGCTCCACACAGAGGCTACTCCACCTCTGCTGCTGTGACCAGTCCTGCTCCACCCAAAGGCTACTCCACCTCTGCTGCTGTGACCAGTCCTGCTCCACACAGAGGCTGCACCACCTCTGCTGCTGTGACCAGTCCTGCTCCACACAGAGGCTGCACCACCTCTGCTGCTGTGTCCAGTCCTGCTCCACACAGAGGCTACTCCACCTCTGCTGCTGTGACCAGTCCTGCTCCACCCAGAGGCTACTCCACCTCTGCTGCTGTGACCAGTCCTGCTCCACACAGAGGCTGCACCACCTCTGCTGCTGTGACCAGTCCTGCTCCACACAGAGGCTGCACCACCTCTGCTGCTGTGTCCAGTCCTGCTCCACACAGAGGCTACTCCACCTCTGCTGCTGTGACCAGTCCTGCTCCACCCAGAGGCTACTCCACCTCTGCTGCTGTGACCAGTCCTGCTCCACACAGAGGCTGCACCACCTCTGCTGCTGTGACCAGTCCTGCTCCACACAGAGGCTGCACCACCTCTGCTGCTGTGTCCAGTCCTGCTCCACACAGAGGCTGCACCACCTCTGCTGCTGTGACCTGTCCTGCTCCACACAGAGGCTGCACCACCTCTGCTGCTGTGACCTGTCCTGCTCCACACAGAGGCTGCACCACCTCTGCTGCTGTGTCCAGTCCTGCTCCACACAGAGGCTACTCCACCTCTGCTGCTGTGACCAGTCCTGCTCCACACAGAGGCTGCACCACCTCTGCTGCTGTGACCAGTCCTGCTCCACACAGAGGTTGCACCACCTCTGCTGCTGTGACCAGTCCTGCTCCACACAGAGGCTACTCCACCTCTGCTGCTGTGACCAGTCCTGCTCCACCCAGAGGCTACTCCACCTCTGCTGCTGTGACCAGTCCTGCTCCACACAGAGGCTGCACCACCTCTGCTGCTGTGACCAGTCCTGCTCCACACAGAGGCTGCACCACCTCTGCTGCTGTGTCCAGTCCTGCTCCACACAGAGGCTACTCCACCTCTGCTGCTGTGACCAGTCCTGCCCCACCCAGAGGCTACTCCACCTCTGCTGCTGTGACCAGTCCTGCTCCACCCAGAGGCTACTCCACCTCTGCTGCTGTGACCAGTCCTGCTCCACACAGAGGCTGCACCACCTCTGCTGCTGTGACCAGTCCTGCTCCACACAGAGGCTGCACCACCTCTGCTGCTGTGTCCAGTCCTGCTCCACACAGAGGCTACTCCACCTCTGCTGCTGTGACCAGTCCTGCTCCACCCAGAGGCTACTCCACCTCTGCTGCTGTGACCAGTCCTGCTCCACACAGAGGCTGCACCACCTCTGCTGCTTTGACCTAAAGAGCTGTTGCATTTTCACACTGTTGTTAGCTATTGTTTTTATTGTCTGTTTATTTGCTTTGTTTGTGTGGTGTTTCTGCTGCAGCTGGACACCTGATTTTTTTCTGCAGGGGATCAACAAAGTATCCATCTATCTAGCTTGATCTAAAGTTAACCAGATTAGGTCCAGTTGAAGTGAGTCAAAAAGAAGCAAACCCACGTGCCTCAAGTGAATGTGTTTTTGAGCATAAACAAATGTTTCGAAAGCGTCTAAACACTCAGACGCTTTCTGAGTCAAAAATAAGTCAAATTAATTATAAACATACATTTGAACTATAATTGTTTAATATTATCTAATAGTATTATTTATTAGTTTGGCGTGGAATCTCAAGAATCATTACAGAAGTTATTTTTATCTCTCACAATAGTTATTGTGAGAGACAGGCAATCTCCATTTAGTCAGACTCTCCGTCAAACCACATTTTCTTTAATAAAACATGTAATTTGATGGAAAAAAATAATAAACAAAAATTGAGAATCCACACAAAGAAATAGTGCTCTGTCTGTTGCACCACAATGCATATTGACAGAGTTGTGAGGGAAATTCAATGGTGTGTTTTTGGCACATGATTAAGCCTGTATGTTTAAGTCATGCTTGGATTTGTTTGGAATGTCAGCTCCCTACACTACCGCATATGTATTTAATCCTCCTGCCCTAAAGAAGACTCTACGTGGCCGAAATACACTATTAATAATAAGGATGTGTATTTGCTGTCAAGACAAGAGTGCCCCAATGTCCTTCTCTCTCCATATTTCTCTATTTGTTTGTTGGTTTTAAGCAGGATGGTTTTGTCAATCTAGTTTTGATCTGTGGTTTTATCACAGCCACAAATTACACTACCAAGTACCAAACAATGACAGCTTGTGCCTTTTGATTGATTAGCAAGAGAAGCATTTGTGTATGTGAACTTGTTGTTGGTTTAATAGAAGAAAAAAATCCTATACATTTAGTCTGGCTATGAATAACGAATTAGCATAGATTTAGCATAATGTGTGTCACCTGTTACACACTCATCATCCAATGTGTCAATGCAGATGGGATTGGGAAAGAAAAGAAACCTTTAAATGGCAGGATACCCTTGTATTTCACTTTAATCTATTAAAATACAGGACCTTTTTGTTAACTTAACATTCACTCCCTGAAAAACAGGAATGCAGTGCTCTGAATAAATGTTCAAGCCAGAAACATTCCCTGACCAAAAATAACTTATTTTCAGTGATTCCTCTGCCACTGTAATGTATTCCTCCCTCTTCCTCACTGGGCACATAAGAGGGTTTGTGTCTTCTGCCAAAGTATCTGCGAGAATTTGAGATCAGTTTGATACCCCTCCCATGAATTAATGGCCTAGATACACCACTATCTCATAACAGTAGAGTCTATATGGATCATGTGTAAAAGTAAAGCGGTAGTCCCGTAGTGTGTGGCATGTATTGGATTATAACATGCAGATTATGGGATTGTAAATGTCCCAAGGTGTTAAAATCGTTGAAGCTTAATCTCCACCTCTGCCTGTATAGGGATTAGACATATATAGCACAATCTCCTCCTTCAGTGGTGCAAAATGGGCATCTAACAGGCACATCCACACTAAATATGTGTAGCCAATGAGATTTCAGCATTTGCTTGAGCAGGTTGTCCCCCAGGGCTTGTTGATCCAGGCAAAGAAAAGGTAAAGTCCTCCTCTCCCCCCCAGGGCCTGTAATACCTGCATGATGAGAGCCACAGTGGTCCCAGCTGCAGTGGCCACATCCAGCCTCTCATCATCTCTGAGCTCCACTGAGCAGCCAATGGGAGACAACAAAGCTCTTTAGAGCCCCCTGCTGTGCTCTGGGTAACACTGCGGACAGCTGGGAGAAAAGTTATGGATTGTGGCCTATATGAAGATGTAGCCTATATTTTTAATGATTCCTGAGAGTGACTTGGTTTACAACATTTCTAACTTGAGGCACATTGGACTGTGAATTCAAAACTTGGAAGAGGAAAAAAATCACTAGTATGTTTTAGTATGACGAGAATGGGTACAATATTTTCTAATTGGTTATGCAAATTACAAAACACAATTTTTGGGTGGGGAAAAATCAGCTCTCCGTACTCAACACAATCAATCACTGAAAAGAAATACACCAACATTAAACGGAGATTTAGACGTTCACAGTTGATAGACAAAATTAAATTAAATACAGGTTTTCATTCACCAATATTGAGATTTGATTTAACTGTGAAAGGGTTATTAGAAAAAATGTGTATCTGCCAATTTATTCACAATAACTATTGTATCCATATAAACCTTTATTTATGGAATTACAATCACATTTGTATACAATATCCTGATTTATATTAAAAGGTATGGTATTAAAAGTATGAGACCTAAAGATGAATGAGGAATAACAGCACATACATGTTGGGAGGATGGGAGACCTCTTGGAACACCAGGTGCCACTGCAAGGCAGCTCAGATTGGCAGCCTCGCTTACATCAGTCGAACTAAGGGCATGGAGTAACAACATTTGAAGGGTCTTTGAGAGTTGAAAAGAGTTCTATATAAAAAAAATTATAGAAACAATAGCGATTTTTTTTTTACTTAACATAGCAATTTTGATACAATTTACATTACATAAATCTATTCATAATTCAAAAAACTACATTACTAATAAAAAAAAATGTTTTTATATTTTCAGGTTGCTTAATTTGTATATTCAGTACAGCGAGATATTTTCAGTAATAAAGCATTTCATCATCTTATTTGCATTTCATGGCTCATTTTAAACAGGGTTTTTTTTGTCTTAGTTGAGAATATATAATGCAACAGTGCAAAAGATTAGCCTGAAGATGTGTTCCATTGGCAATTTTTTTATATTATAATTGCAAATGTATACTAACATCAGTGAAGTGCTGGAGTGCTTTAAACTTTAAAACCTTATAACATTAACCATGGTAACTTGAGCCAAACTCTCAAAACGGTTTGGCCCAAGTTCCTAGTTTTCACTAAGAGGACTATGTAAAATTTATATTTTTTCTAATAAGATAAAGACAGTATGTTTGTCTGATTTGTTCACAAAATGTTGAACAATATTTCTGTTGAGAAAAACAATAATGCATTTCTGAAACGAACAAGAGGATAGGTACTCCAGCTTTAATTTAAGGCATGTTAGATAATTTTTTATGCAAGATACTTTAATGGCAGTCTTTATGATTTGCTAAATGCATCCAATAAAAATGCATTTTCGATTCATTGTCCAGTAGGAATCCTCGGTGTGATGACAAAAAGCGCTACAACATGTTCCTAAAGTGGAACACTCCCCGTAAAAGCTGCAATAAATGTCCCATTGTGGCTAGCATGTTAAAAATTTATATTCAGCATGCAACCATCAGATGAGGAACAAAGTAGTGTGTTGTCCTCTTACCTATTTTAATCAACTCTCGCTTCCGTATAGAAAGGTAAGATTAATACTTGACACTTGCCACAGTTCTACCCCTCGGGAGCAAGAAATCCTTGTCAGCGTGAGCTCCACCTTCCCAGCATGTGAGTGATGAACAAGTCCATTATAATCATCTTCATTCACAATAGGACATTTTCAACTCCACAACAATGATAATTAAACTGATTAAGTCTCACTCAAAAAACAAAACCAAGTATGTGCAGATGAGCACTTGAACATAATGGAACGAAAATGTTTGATTTATTGTCAGAAGAATAACAATGTGCAATATTAGTCAGAATAGATTGTTTCCATCAGTGCAGTTTAGTATTAAGACAAATGCTTATGGCAGGAAAGAGGTCCATTACAGTTGAGGCTATGGCGTATAAGTGATAAAACACTAGGTCCAACTTCATTTACATATCAGCTCTGCAAGACATCTAAAGCTCTCAATTAAAGGAGTATGAATTTAAGAATCCCAGACTGAACTCAAAACCGGTATGTATTAAAATATATAGGTAACACGAGAGTTCTAAAAAGTTTTCTTGAACAATTATTGGTTATTTTTATTCCCACCAGGTATCCATTCTTCGCACACGCACCCTCTGCTTATAGTGATACTCTTTCAAGTGTTTTTTCAAAGAATTAGGAATGGGAAGAACATTAATACCATCATATGTTGTACAGCTGCTAATGGCAGCTCGGCAAATATGCTGTAAGCTAAAGGGATGAGAACGGGAGATTGGGTTGGACAGGAGAGGCTCAAAAAACATGCAAGAGTTCGGATCCTTGTAGTGTTCCAACAAACCAGTGACAGTGGGAGCGTGGAAGACACTGGGGTCATGAACATCAAAACTAAAGTTATGGTTCCACTGTTCGATACGTGCGTGCAATGACCGGCCATAGCGCCGAAAGCTCACAGAGAAGAGGTAGTCCTCCTGAGCAGAGTCACGGAGCAGGAATGTTCCTTCGGGCTTTCCCTCCAGCAGGGTTTCTGCCTCGTAACGGTCCATCACTCCCCAATAACAAGACAAATTGGTTATTTGGAGCAAGTCTGGAACCAAACAATGAATGTAGTCAATCTGAGTGTGGATACGGAAGCCGTCAGTACATTTGTGAGACTCAGTCTGAGGCACTATGGCTCTAGACGGCAGGTCACTCGCAGATGCTTCGGAGCTCTCACTAGAGTCAGAGTCGGCAGCTTGGGTGGAGGCAGAGGCCACCACCTCGTCCAGTGTATCGAGGCAGCTCTGAAGGAGAAGCTGGTGCTGCTGCCTCTGCAGGAGCAGCTGCTGCTGGAGGGCACTGGCACGGTCACTTTCCGTTAAATCATTCATGCCATGTGCCAGTTTAGGGCCATGTTTGAAATGCTGGTTCATTTGAGCAGTGACCTCAAATGTGTGGATCTCAGCATTGGGTGGAGGATCAACACCTTGTTCAATGCTGATTCTGCGACGTTCACGTAACTTGTCATCAACATCCTCCACCATAGTAGCCAAAACTACAGGTGGAGCACTAGAAACTGCGGCAGAATCAAGTATGGGTGGCTGTGTTATTGGGGCTGTGTGCTGCTTAATGAGGTACCATTTCTGAGCCAATTCTGATCCTACAGGGAAAGGACAGTCATCCAGCATCAGCTCACTAAGATGGATCTTGCGTCTTGAGGATGGACAGAGTGATGATGACGGAGACTGTGGAGGCACAGGTGTCGCTGCTGTACTATGAGTCTTTATTGGAAAGCACTGGCCCATTGCATCCTGGATCTTTTGCCTGAAGGTACGGCTGTTGTTGGATCCTCTGCCCTCGACATCAGCAGACGCAGGTATATCTGATACAGAACCCACTGTGACAAATCCTGGCCTAGTGAGTGCCCTCTCCTGTCCTAAAACAGAGCCAGTAGTTTCTGATTCCTCCCACCTCTCCTTCAGAGACGAAAATGTCAAAGTGTCCCTGGTTTCTAGATTATTCAGAAGCTCTCCATACTCAAAGCCATCACTCACTGGGCGCTCTGCAGTGGCATCATTCGCTGCAAAGCCTTTTTTCTTTGATTTTCCAGATTTTCTGCCAGCTCCTGTTTCCCGTCTCTCCTCTGACCGGCTCTGTCTCACTTTCGGGCGGGCTCCTCTCTCCCTCTCTTTCCCACGATTGTCTGAATCCATTGGTAATGACATGATTTGGTCTATAAAGTATAGCAGACAGTTGGTAAAGTGGCGACGTTTTTCAGTTCATGTCTTCTGTGAAGTTCTGGCATGTATATTATCTGCAAAACAATAGCATATTATTTATATAAAGATGACTAATTGATGATGCATGCAAGATTCAACCTTGTATATAACGCCACACTGCATACAACCCATTGCGTTTAGTTACTGAAACAAAGACTCTCCTGAATGTTACCTTAACCAAATCAACTAGGGAGCCTCAATCATAAATCTAAATATAACACGATGGTGATTTAATATAAGTATATTATATAATAAAAAAGCTAGCATAGTCATCAAGGTTAAAGTATGGAGATTATTGGTAAAAATTCAGTTGTAGTTGCTATGCTATGCTAGTTGCTATGCTATGCTAAGGAAGCGGCATTAGCTTGACGTTTGAAGGGACCTTATTATTGTCATCTGTGGCCTTCATAATGCCATGATGGGTTATCTATCACATTCACTGTTAACAATAAAAACACAAGTAAACGATGCATATTTTGAGTCTTGATTCTATAGTTGTTGTAAATGTTTCTTTACCGAATACAGTGCACTTAGCTAGCATGTTGCTAATAGTTTCAGATAGTCTTTTTTTACACACAGAAAGACACAATTACTTGCCTTAATAAACAGGCAGCATAGCAGACTGCGTGTCCAGGTAGTAAAACTGATATCCAGTGATAATTGTTAGATATGATCACAGCGCGACAATCCATGGATCGAGCGTCATTTTCTCCTTCCTCGAAATGATCAATCCGGAAGTACTGAGTAACATTAGAGAGAAAAAAATGCCAATAAAAAAAGTAACAACCTACAAATGAAGATGCAAAAAAAAGTGAACTCTTTATTTGAACTGTCAAGAGATCCGATGGATGCTGCACCTCAGACCATTAACACATGTGACAGTAAAAAGTATTAGCAACAAATGCAAAGGGTTCACAAAATATTAGAAAAATTCGGGGTATTTATACTTAAATATAAATTGTACAAGACAATGATACAGCATAGCATTCGCTGACGAGAGAGATAATATTAAACCTGGCAGGGACAATAATATGACCTCAAGACCTCCACTTATAATTCTGAACCTCCCAGCGGATACAGTCGGAAGAATACAAAATGTAAAATTAGTGAATGATTTCCCAAAACATTTCACTCATCAGTGGAATGTAAACATTGAGTACACATGTTCATTGGCCACCTATAGGTGTTTAAAAATTGCAAATTAAACGCTCAGATAAACGTTTCAATTCCCTGCTGCAATAATGACAAACCGTACCTATATGCAGAAATGTTCAATTTGCAGAGGTAATGAAAATGTCTATCTGAACTACTACGTATAATAACATAACAGTTGATTTTACAGTAAAGTAAATTGTTAAAAGTTTTAAAGTTATCAACATTGTTAATTCACATAGACCATTTGTGAACATGTATGATGCATTAGTCAGATCTATCTGAGAGCCTGCTCTGAAGAAATCAATGACTACACTACTGCTCAGGACCTTTTCATAATAGTGAGCAAAAATGCACATTTTTCCCACCGGTTTGTCTGAACATTGGAGCCACTGATCACAAGGACAAGAACAGCATTATTTTTGTCACTGTATGATCAGATCAGGTAATACATATCTTGCATGTTTCAATAGTATAATAAGTAGAAAATATGTTGGGCACCACCTCTGCTTACTCTGTCAGAAAGCTTCAGTTTTTTAGATTGAAAAAAAAAAATGTCACATTTTGAAATGGGTGTTAAACCCACAGATGTAAACGGTGACATTAAAATGAATCGTTTTGAAATATTTTTTTAGTTTTTGGTGACTACTTTGACCACTATGTCCATTATCAACAACAGTGCTGTATTAGTGTGGCAAAACATGCTAATATAGAAAAAAGCATAAGTTAACAATATCACGTGAAGGGTAAAAAAATACAACTGGAAAAAATAAATGTAAATAACCATTTTACTACACAGACCTCCTATGGTTCTGCTGAAATAAAATATGGTTATCCCTGCCTTTTGATACAACCAAAAGTGATCCAATAGTTAAGACCATATAACACATACATGCACCTCCGCTCTGCCACATTCAAAGACAGAGGCTTTATAAGACAGATTTTGATTCAACACTGATACCACATGATAATGTTAGGATCTGAAAGTGAAACACACGGAGACACAAACAGAAACATCAATATCGTCAAGCACCTTGAATATTATGATTCATCAAATCATCACCTTGGCCATTGAGGAAAAGGGCAGTGGGATGACGCACTGCTCACCAGAGTGGTTATTATAGGATCAAGTTATGTTTTCAAGATCCAATCACACGGGCAGCACAAGGTTGAGCTTTCATTTAGTTTTTTCACCCTGCATTAAAGTAAATTGAAAACGCTCTACACTGTGCCTGCTCTTATCAATAGAACATCACCAACTCATCCTCCGCCGCACCGCCCCAGCCCTTATTCTCTGGAGAATCCTCGGCACAAAATGAGATTCATCATCATTTATGTAGGACAGAAAATAACAAAAACAAATGCAGCCGTCATCAATTCTTCAAATTGCTGTTCTCTGAAGAAAAAAAAAGACAGCTTTTGTTTTCCTTTAACTTCGGATACACTTCTCAATTTGATGAAAGCACAACCTTTCTTTGGCGTTGTAAAAGTTAGAAGGAAAGTAATTTCCTAAAAGAATAGGTCGATAAAGGATAACTGTTGAAATATGTTTAGTTCATAGTAACGTTTTTTGAAGTTCTAATTCTTTTCCATGTGAACATGTTTTGCAAGATAATAAAGGACCAGGGAAATGCTAACCCTTTCAATGATGCAGAATGCACATCAATTACCAGGGCTAGAATATGTATTGAAGTAAGGTACCAAGGAAAGTTTTTAGTGAAGTCATTTGGTAAATAAATTGTTGGGGCTGAATATTTAGTGCTTTATTGAAAAAAGTGCCTTTCCTCTGGCTGGAAAATGTCTTTATATCTATATATACTGTTGTCTAGGGACCAGGGCTACGAGCCTCTTCCTGCCAGCAGACCTGTTGACCTGCACTTGGACATGTGGAAAAGAAGAGTAGATTAACTTGTTGAAAACAGCACCATTTTACTGTATTTTTATCCAGTTGTGGTAAACTGCGGCACTGCACAGCATGTCACAGTCCTGCAGGTGACATGAGGCAGTCAACACAGTTAACCCTTTCTCTGTCCTGTGATATAATAATCATCTGTATTCCATTTTTCATAAACTTAGTTGTATATAATAAAGTACAAAAATATCAGAGAACATATACAGTTTTGTAGTGAATGCTTTGTCTTTTTTCTTAAGCATACATATACTTTGTGCTGGATGATGAGGAGCCAAAGGCCCCAAGAAGTGTGTTTCTTTTTTCTTTCTTTTCATATTGTAGATGTACGGTCAGTTCCATCTGGAAAGAAAAGGAAGAATAGTTTTAAGTCAAAAAATCTTCAGAAAATGTAATGACGATACAATATTTAAAATCAATTTATAATGGCACATGTTGTATATCTACAAAATATGCCAATTTAACAATAACACCATTCTGTTTAAATGTTGTTATCTGAGGCAGAGCACCTTCTGAGTGAAACAAAGTTATTCAGTGGTTGGATACTTTTGTGCTAGACCCAGGGGAGCTCATTGGAGCCACTGATCACAAGGACAAGAACAGCATTATTTTTGTCACTGTATGATCAGATCAGGTAATACATATCTTGGATATGTTGGGCACCACCTCTGCCTACTCTGTAAGAAAGCTTCAGTTTGTTAGATTGGAAAAAAAAAGAGAGGCATATTGAGACCGTATTGAGGCGTATTGAGACCCAGGGGTGCTCAATACATCAAATGAAATCTATTGGTAAATTGCTAGGGCAGGTTGGGTAGCTCGCCTGACATATAAGAGTTCATGAACGTTACCTCAGCATAAAAAGTCTGAAGACACACATACAGGGAACAGCACGCCATAAGCGCTTCCCCAATGAGCCTGTGCACTCAAGCCGTTTTCGTTCTCGCCTTCGCCGTTTAGGTGCAGGCCGCGGTTGACGCACATTAAGAGAGATGCCGATCAAATCACATGACTGCTGCTCAATGAGGTTCGACGAAGAACAGAAAGCGACCGTGAGTACATGAAGTGTGAGCATACCTGACAAAATGCTCACACTTACAACTGCTACAAATATTAGATAACTGATCATTTAAGCCAATTCTGATTTCATTCCTGCCAACAAATTGCGAATAAGGACAACATGGTCATTACTTAATCATAAATAACAACCAAATGTGATCTTCTGAACCGTATCACTCCTGCAATTGTTGCAGTAAAAGTAAAAAGTCGATCTAGATTTGATAAAGTGTGGGCACCCCTCATATGTCAACACAGGACTTGCTTGGACCTATGATGGGTTTTCACCATGGGGTACACACTTTCAAGGACTAAGGACACTATGCGAGCACACAAGAGCAAAGAAAATTGCCTTATAATATATTATGGCAAGCCCTTCCTCGTGAGACTAGGGATTATTACATGAATTGTCGCGCTCTGAGCACCCCTTGTGTCACCGAACTGGCGCCACCTGCAGGTGAAAGCCACATCCGTCATACCTCTGAGGTTAAGCGGGCAGATAAGTAATGTGATTGGAGACATCTGCAATCACCAAGTGCCAAGGTAGGGCTGGTGTGGCTGTCAAGTATCAAAAAGTTGTTGTGTCCTATGGCAAGACACTTCACTCACATTGCCTAGAATGAATCTGGCAACGTGTGCGAGAAGGGTTAGTGGCGGTCGGAAAGGCAGATTGCCTCGTTGTAACACCACCGTGTATGGAGTGAAAGAATAATGCCATGTGAAGAGTCTTTGAGTGTCTACTAGAGCTCTATACAAAACCAATGCATTATCATTATTATCATCATTAAAGGCCTGGGAAGCATCTATACTAAAACGGAGTATTTATTGACATCTAATTTATGGTTTTGATAAATAGTTACATTAGAATAATTAAGTTTGTGTAAACTCTCAGTCCTACAGGGATTAGTCAAAGCAAAGGAAGGTTTCTCACCCATCTAAGAAGTACAGATGATGGGTGAGAAACCTTCTTTTGCTTTGATTAGAATAATTACGGTATACCTTTATACCGGTTATCTTCGCATGGTATATAGAGGGAGAGAGACAGCTCTACATATTCAGTCCGAAAGTAATTCGGCAGAGGGCCAGCAGCTCATTGCCTATTTTACCGTGCAGTGGAGGACACCTACCCCCCAAGGCATGCTCCGTCATACTGAGGCAAAGCGACTCCAGCGTAGGGTTGATCTCTAGGTCTGCACCTGGAACTTGGCATTCTGTGAAAATGAGTAAAAAGCTTGTTACATTTCAGTGTTAATAATCGTGTAATATACAATGCAGCAGTATGGACCATGGATATTAAAATACATATAACAAATACTTTGTGAAGCACTTTCTCGTGTTTACAGTGTATGGGTGTATTCAATATTTCATCATTTGAGTGGGTACCTTGTTGCTGGAACATGAGCATGGTTTGTGGAGAAGTGTGGACAGGGAGTGAGTGTGTTCGCTGAACAGAACTGCGACTTTGACTTGGCATGCTGTTACTGCCTCCAGGGTTAGCGAACCACAGGCTCTGTAAATAGAAAAACAAGTTAACATTCCCTGAGAAAAATACATTTTGAAATAATTTAGAAATTACCCAAGCAGTAATGGTAAATAACAGTTTTACCTGGCGACCCTGACCAGCTAATGCAGGACTCGTGAGCGAGTGACGTGGCGATGCCCCGCTCATTCCACTGGGGCTCAGGAGAGCCATGCGTCCTGCAGGGAGACCTCGGGGAGTCATCTGGAACTGCCTCTGGCCCCTTCGTCCAACTCCTGCACTCACAGATCCTGCTGTGGGGAGCGAGTTTGACCCATATGTCCAGCTGCACAAAGACAAAGTGAACCTTTTACAATCCAAAGCTTTATAGAAACAAACTAAATATAAAATAAAAAGACCTCACCCTTTCTGTCGATATACAGGCATGTCCAGCATAGCTTTCCGAGGGAACAGGCGGAGCAGTTTGAGGACCTGCTGCTTCCAGGACACAAGTCTTTTTTTGTGAGTTTCTGTGAACGCCTAAAAATAAAAAGTAGACCATGCAGCATTTCACCTAATATACATAACATAAAGGTTTTATTTTAACTATGAATGCAAAAACATCATACCTCATGTATGAGGCATTTCTCAATAAGTTGAAGGTAACAGCTTATGTTCTCCTCATCTGGCCTTGAAACTAGCAGCTGGGTGCACACTGTAAAAACAAATGCACACAACAAAAGTTAATCATAAAAATGTACAACATCCACAGCTACTCTGTTAAGTAAGTATACCACAGTATACTAGTTTCTGGAGGTGGCATGCCACCTGCATATCTCTGAGAAAAGCAGAAATAGCAAAGCATATCTAGATATAAATAGTTTTATGCCAAATTTCCAAAAATAAAATTTCCATACAAACAAGCTGGAGAAGGACCTCCTCCAGCTTGTTGAATGGTAAATGGAAGTATCTGTGTAGTTCCACTCCTTTCATAACATATCACCAACCAAATTGATGCTACAGTATAAATGAAATAAAGTGTACAAGGGTGAGACTGAATTTGTCTTACCTTTGCCCATCACCCGAGTGAACTGTCCAGGAATATCACTGTCAGAGATGGGTGTGCCAGAAGAGTCCCCGTCACAAGGAGGAGGGTTGTGTGGCTGGAACCCCTCCAGCACAGTCTCTTTGTCCACTGCGGCCTTTGCAGAGTCTGAGGGAGGTGTGTCTTGGGCAGTTTGTGAAACACTAGGTGGACTGTAGGCTTTGATAGGCGTCATGGTGATCTGCTGCAATTCTTGGAGGGCATTACGCAGATTTCCACCTTCTAAAATATCCTGCAGAAGATAGATGCATTTTGTTTCAACATTAGAGTGACTGGAGTTTAAGCAGATATTTTATTGCTTTACTTTTTCTAAGGATCGTAGCACACTTGGCCTTTCTCGCAGCTTCTGGATGCTTAAGGCAATTTTATGTCTCGCCCCTTTAGTGACATTCTAAAAAAGGTGACCACACAAAAGAACACAAACATTAGTACAAAGCTTTACATTATCACATCTCCTCTTGGTTTGGATTCTTGTGTGTATGGATTACTTTCTTTTACTCATATTGGAAGTTGGGGCCAGGCAATATTTTAATATATAGGACATATTGAATCAATTTTAATAAACCTCTTTGACATATTGTATATATTGAGAATGCACAAATAGTTACTTACTGATGACTAATTTGTAGTTTTATGTACTGTTGTATGCATTTGGGTATATTTTTTTTATATTTTGAGTACTTTGAGATTATCATCATCAATGGTTTCATAATACTTGTTTTTTTTGTTTTTTTTTTAAATCAAACAAATTTGGTAAATATACTTATTTTTCATATCGAGAAATAATTGCTGGGCCATAGCCGCCAATCTCTAGCATTTACATTGCATCAGATCTACATAGTGGCTAAAAAATATTTAAAACAAACAATTTCAATAAACCTGTGACTCCAGATGCTGCTCTGTAAGTATCATCATCTCCTCATAGGTCATCTGAGAGAATAGTGATGCATATTTATGAAGCCGGAGGCTCTTCAACCATGCCGGAACATCTTAAAACATGTGCAGAGACATAAGAAATGAAGTTAGATTGCCCACAAAACTGTTGAGACTGCATGGTGTCAGTACCTTTCATCCCACTGCCGTCCTCTTGGAAAGTGTTGCGCAATAAGCCCTGATCATCGGTCTGCTCACTGCCTGAAGATGCAACACTGCTTTGGGGTGACAGTGGGGCATGATCTGTTGACATATATCTTCCACCTTGCTCATCCTGGCACACCCACTCAGAGCCACATGCTTGGGTACTTAATGGAATGATTGACATTGATTTTTTCAAAGGGCTCGGATGCATTTGATCACCCATACCTGTACACATTTGTAAGTTTAGTTTAAACGAACTCAAAGGATAATCAGTTGAAATAATCTAGAAACATGACCTGCATTATTGCTGTTGATGGGTGAAGACATACCGCCAGGAAAAGGCATGTGTCCATTTTGGCCTGCAGGAGAAGTACTAGAAGACTTGTCTTGCCAAATGAGGCCTGGATCCAAGACCTCAGCCGAACTTTGCCATTCATCTGAGCCCTGATGAGGGTGGTAGGGGCTGGAGGGGGCTCTAGAGGTGGGTGCATAACCACTTGATAAGTGCTCTTCCAGGTGGTTGAGCCACATGGCTAGAGACGTACGGTCCTCCAGTGTGGTGGCCGGGTGGATGAGTGCATAAGACAACAGCTGTCTGCTTTCCTCCACAAACAAACTGCTTTCAATAGTGTGACTCAATACTTTCTGCAGTAGCTTCATGTATTCACATTTTGCTTCACTGTTACGTGGCTGCAAGAGTGGCAAATGAGACAGGAGCAAGGAAACAACTTTGTCTTTTGACTCTTGGTGCCACTGGCTAACAATAGCTAGAAAAAGGTGCAAAGATATAGAAAACTAAATTAGTAATTTACAACATTCTGAATGATGATGAATTTCATAGAACAAACATTAACAGCGTTAAACCAACATTTGTCTTACCTGCATTGTTGGCCTCCGCTTCTAGGATGTGAATCTCTGTGCAATCTGCCAGCCAGTGCTCAAGGCAGATGTGTAGGAAGCGAGCTTGGGTGCGGGAAATCCTCTTCAGGAGGGACAACAGAGCTACTGTCTGTTCACACTCATTCCAGCCTTTGAACCAGTCTGTGAGTATTCCTACCTGGTCTCGGAACATCATGGCGTGTCTCCTTGGGTAGGAGACAGGTTTGGTCTACCTAATGACTACTCAGTTTCACGCAGACAAAAAAAGACCTCCCCGCACAGCGGGGATGAATGTATAGTCCTGAGATGCCCCCAGACCAGAGAAGGAGGCCTCACATGGTTCACTACTGGTTCAATGCAGGCGTTGGCATTAAAGAATTAGGAGAATAAATTTTCAGAGGGTTGACCGAAAATTCAACTCAGTGTGAAGGCTTCTTACTTGATCATATCCAGGTTAAGTCCTCCATAGTCTGAAAAAATAAAAATACAATTATAAATAAGAAGTGAATTTTAATCTATGGTTAGGGTAAATAATTACTAGATTATATGAAATACTTAAATGTATTAGAATTTGCATCAAATTGTGGTAGATAAGAAAGTTGCAACATCCAAAACGAAGTGGTATATAGCGGTTACATATTTGGCGTGTGCTTAAGCCCATGTTATTACACTTGTTGCGGTGTAAGCATGTCACTGATGCTGGTGCTCGGGTCGTAAAATAACCTGCAGTCAATCTGCAGACAGTCAACAGAGCCAGATGTAACACCTGTAACATTGGGCCAACATTCAGCCGAACACACCCAAATGACTGGTGCAAACTCTGTCAAAGGGCCCCTCCATGTCGAGCAGAACCTAATGGCAATCTGAAACTGTGAAAAATGGCATACAAAGTATAGAGGAAATTGCAAAATGTTAGCTGGACCGGCCTAGTCTGAAGAGACAGACGATATGTATTGTTTATCGTTGTCGCTGTTGCTGCTGGTATGCCGCTTTTCTGGGCTCATTACTTTGACTGGACACATAACCACCCCTGCACAGAGCGCCCCTTCTTTAGGCAAATAGACAATGTTTCAAAAACTACAACGAGTAAGGTATGCATCAATTCAAAAGCAATATCGGTGTAGAGTTTGGCTGTTTACCTTTATCAGTTGTCAGTGGTTGGCGATCCTGGCTAAGTGCTAATACTTAGCTTCTCCTCCCCTATCGTCGAGCTAAGCTAAGTGGTAGCTTTGGCGATAGCAGTAGTGCTAATGGATACAATAACGTGAGCTTAGCTTGAAGAGGCGTAGACTTCGATCCCATTTGCTGTGTGGCCAAATGTTATTTTCCAACAAATCCGAGTTCCAGTCCTGCTAAAACCATGTTTCATTACATATGAACTAAATAGTTTATTGCATGTATAGAGAATAAAGAGTACGCCTGAAGAAATCTACTTCGATTTTTAGTTGACGTAAGACGCTGACATAACGTCATACGCCTGGAATCTGTGCGTACCATAGCCACGCCCACAATTATATTATAGTCAATGGTTATGTTATTTATTCATTCTAGACACTATTATACTATAATCTACGGCTATACATGCAGGGTATGTCTTGCCTTCAGTTGACCTATTTACAGATATATTCCAACTACTGGCACCATCGCCAATAGTTGACTGTTGACCATCGCCAATAGTTCTGTAAGCCTCTTAAATTTTGACCGAAAAAAAAGACATAAGGAAAATGTCACCTGCATTTTATTAGAAACAAATTTGTACCACAATGAAATTCAACCTGATGTCACAATCATTTTTCAAAAAGTTTAAATCTACAAATAAAAACAGTCATCTGATGTTCCTTGGGAAATTTTAGCTGGTAATTAGGAGCATACACCCCAAGATTGGACTTAAGTTGCAGCTGGTAATAGGGTCAAGTTGGAGCGTACAGACCAGAGAGACATTGCAGAGGCAGATTTTATTCACTGTCACTGGCTTCACTGGAGTCCGACGCCCGCTCGCTCCCACTAGCGCTGGGAGCATGTTCCTCTGAATGGACACTGCTATGGTCACTGTGAGCTGGAGAGGCACTGCGACTTCTGCTGCCTCTTCGGTTTGCCCCTTCGTCTTCACTGCCGCTGCCTTCATCACCACTGCTCCGCGCTGAGTTCTTGGGCTCATTGTCGCCACTGTCGTCGTCGTCGTCACTGCCAAAGATCTCTTCTTCGTCACGCAACTCTCTGGTGCGTTCTTCTCCGCTCTCACTTCCACTAGCGCTGAGCTTCCTCCTGCGCTTCCCTCGGTCTTCAACTTCCTCGTCTTCTTCTCTTGGCTCCGGCTCTTCATCTTCTCCGTCTGAGTCACTGCCAAAGTTCTCCCCCTCACTGCCACTGCCCTTCTCTTTCTCATCACCTGGAAATAATAATAATAATAATAATAATAAAACATCAAAGTTACTAAGATACTTAAATAACAAGTTCAGAGGTCTCTAAAATATTTACCAGAGTCCTGCATATCTTTATCCATGTCCATGTCTTCCTCCTCATCCTCTGGTTCATGGTTCTCCAACTGTGCTTTACGAGCTTCCTGAAAATTAGATTGATATAATATGGTTAAGATCACAATTTTTCCAAGACCATTAAAAAAAATGAGGTAGTCTAAACATTCTGAAACGAAAGGTATTGATGTTATTACCTGTGCTTCAAGCTCCTTCTCGTTCATATCTCTGTGTTTACAAACCAGCACAGCATTTGTGGTAGACGTTGCTCCGGCTTTAGCTCTTCTTTTGCTTAGTCGCACTCTACAAGGTGAAGACACACAAAACATGACCACTATATTTCAAAACAACAAGACCAAACCCAGACTTAAGTTAGACTTTACCTTGTTTCCAGTTCATTGTAATAAACACCATCACCGTCTCGGAAGATGAAGAAGTAATTTTCTTCGTAACCCTTGCTGGCTTTGTTCTTAACATTCCAGTTATACTCTCTGGCAATCTTGTAATCATACCTTTTATAAATCAAGCACAATTCATGTTTAAGCATAAACAGATACAAATATATATCATCAGAGATGGTGATTTTACTTACAGGTCCTCAGCCATATAATCCACACCCTCATCGCAATCTCGTTTGCGTTTCCGGAGAGTTTCCTCATTGGGCAGGAAGTAGGCCACAAACTGATTACCTTCTTCATCCATCATTCCTCTGTATAATACATTCATTTGGAATATAAAAGCAGCAGGTGTATGCAAATGCAGCAGCTCGGCTACAACAAACTAAAGCAATAAAGTACCTAATCATGGCTTGAGACATCATTTCCACGCCTGCAGTTGCCGTCATGTCTTTCGGTGCAGGATCAGAATCGAAAATGACTTGAGCACATGGGTTGATCCACATCTAGAGAATCAAACGTTTTATTATCTACATCTTTAAAAGGCATACATTCTAAATAAACATTGTGAACTCACTTTAAAGTCTGGGAATACAGGCATTACTTCCACAGGAGTAACTCTTGGCTTACTGTAGTGCTGTGCAATCTAGAAAGAAAGCAGAAAGGTTCTATGCCCAAACATACAACATATTGTAGTCATCGAAAAATAGAATACAGTTGTACTCACATTTTTCTGTGCATCCTCAAATGTCTTCTCAATAGCTGAAATCTGACTGTCTCGGTCTTTGTAAATTTCTTCTTCTGTGAACTGCTGTTTGACAGAAACTCCAATCCTATACAACCACAAAAGTTATAGCCTCTGTATGCACACAAAGAAAGCAAAAACCTTACACACACACACACACACTTACTTGACTTCCACTTTCTCATTAGAGACACCGTATCTGTTAAACTCTGTGGAAATGTACTCGGTTTTTCTCATCCATGGCACAACTTTTGCATGCTGCTGTGACCTTATGGGCAAAAAGAACAAACAAGGCTCAGAGACTTAAATAATTGACAAACACATATAAGTCTAAAATCCAGTTATTACTTCTTTTAAGGCAAGTGGTTGCAGCCAGTAATATGTAAAACTTACATTCAAAACCTACACATATTTTGTCTAAAATGTTGTTAAATAATGTAGTGGATTATTGTATTAGTTTTGTTTGTTTTATAATATTATTGCCAACTAAAGCAGATTTATTTCAGCTCGTTTGCGTTTCTTCTGCAATACACATTTCTACAGTAAAACAGACTTTATTAATGCAGCAGCCAGAATTCTTACCTCTTAGAACTGGATGGAGCTTGGATGTCTTCTTCAAGCAGCTTTTCATCAGCTGGATCCAACAATACTGTCATATGAAAAATAGCAATCAAACCTTGTAGATAATAGCCCCCAGAATTACAACACGCCACAAGGACCATAAAGGAAGCCTTACTGCTGGGGTCTATGCGGTAGGTATCCGGGTTTATAAGATCAATGGTAACGCCCAGGTCTGGTTCAGTTAGCAGCTCGTGTTTATGCTGCTTCTCCAGAGATGTGGCTTTGTACTGTACAAATCTAAAAAAGGACAAAGACCATAAGAATCCTGGACATAGCAATGCATGTCACAAAAAACAATAAATGCACTTTTGAATTCAATAAACAATGGCAAGAACAATACATTTTTACTTTTGAAATGTATTGTAATATGGTGAGATTAGTGTGTAGATTTGATTAAGTCTTCAAATACTACCTGGTTCTATGGTATTGGTTGCAGCTTTTAATGATATTGTACATGCTGAAATAGTTTCCTTAGAGTTTATTTGTACTTATTTATAATGTATGTATCTTTATTGAACATCTGTGTAGCAATACATTGTACTTAAAAATGTGTCGACATGGCAGATGTAAGTGCGTATGTTTGTATAATTTGTAATAATGGCGTTAGAATCAATGATAACATTCACATCACCTGTGCTGGTCAAATGGATATGTGATGAATTTGGGGTCAAAGGGGATGTCAGGGAGGCTGTTGCAGTATTTCACCCGGCAAACCACTCCTGACCTGCAAAAAATAGGAGTGCATTTCAAATACTCACCAATTCACATGGGCACTAGTGTAGAGAAGAAAATCATCTTACCTCTCTGGGACAGTTCTGTGGGAGGACGGCCTGCTGAAATGAAAGATTTTTTTTTCTTTAAAGGTTTAAGTGTAATGTAATGCTCCTCATCACACGTAAAGCAGCAAGTGAAGACATACTTGAGAGCCATTACACTATATGTGAACGATGTGTGTTGGTCATCATTCGGTTTCAGTTCATGCCGCATGATAATCAAGAATATTTTTTTTTTCTACAAACTGCGTGGGTTATGCACTGGTTATGCAACTAAACGGCTCAATAAAACTAAAAGAAAACGATCCTATGCATGGTGTACTAAGAAATTGGCGGGGATGAGATAATACATGACATTTAAAATGCATGAACGATGCAGGACTCAACCAGCGAGTGATAACACAGTTATAAGAGGAAAATAGCTCGTGGACAACATTTTTTTACGGTATTAAGTATTGTAAATGACACTATCTCATGACTGCACTTTTTCCCACAATATTTGGATTTTAAGTGGATCAGACTGGTTCTCAGAGTGTCTCGTGTTATGGATCATTAGGACACTAGATCAGGATGTAGTTACTTTACAGATCATTCCTCAGTCTTACCTGTGGCCGTCTTCACGCTGAGCCTGAGATTGAATGGTCGGCGCCATGTTACAGGCCGCACAAACTTAAATCGCGATACACTGATGAGAAGGAAGTCTTTCTATTCTATTTATATTCTAATGGAACAGCATGAATGTTGCGTCTTTATTTTGCTCCGACGGAGGACAGGATGGCGCTCGTGAAGCAGGGGAGCTCTAATGCAGGTGGACTCTAGTGAGGAACGCCCTCTAGTGGTTTGGAGTGGTAAGGAAATCTATTTGACAGTCTGGCCATGCGTCGAAGTCAGTAGGATTGTGCAGTCCATAAATCTATAACATCGGTGCAGTCCATGGATCTGTTACGTGCAGCCACACTTCATAAACATGCTATGAATGGCTGTGGTCATTGCATTCACTCAAAACGCATGTTTTGAAAGTATGTTTTAAGGCAAACATGGAGGTGGCAGACCATACAAAAAATTACACTTATAAAGTCTCTTTTTCCAGTTTAATCAAGCCTGTCTGAGAATTCCAGAATGTGTGCATAAGATACAGATTTTTTTATTCCAATACCATCTTTTATTGATTGCCCTTACATGAGTAGTGTGGTATGAAAAGTGTTATTTGTCACAAAAAAACATGTCACACACTAAATACAAAGACAATTTAATTCCAGCAATCAATTCGCCATAGTTATAATGATCAGCTGCAGGGGTCTCTGCTTCCAGAATCTAATCACACACATAAGGTTACAATTGCCATTACACAGGCTCCACTTTCTTGTGACTGTGAACATGGGAGTGGATCTCTCCTTCACTGTACTTCTCACTGAGGATTGTCTTTTCCCACTGCTTCCTGAAGATGGTTTGTCTGAAGACAGAGGTTGTTCTGGGACATTTCCCTGGATCTTAGAACCTCAACATCCATTGAGTCATTAAAAGCCAGCATAAAGACTCACCTGTATTGACTCTCTTTTGTCAAACTGCAAAACAAATGTATTGCACTGTATATTATTGTATAGTTTAGTGCCATATTTTTCTTTGTGAAAGGTACTCCTATAGAAAGTGTACTTATTTATTTGCTTATTGTCTTTGAACATTGATTCATATTTCATTTTTTCAGCTGTACAAAAATATTATTATTATATTTGAGAAGCTCCCCATCCTTTTTAGAGTCATTTTCACAGGGCACCTCCACTGTGTCCCTTAAGGCTGTCCAGCGGCACTTCATCTGACTTCATCGGTGCTTCTTCAACAGTTACTCAGGCCTGCATCCCCGCTTGAATGTGGTTTTCGCTGTGTAGAAAGACAAAATGCTTGTGAAATATTAATGATGACTGATTACAAGCTGTAATATTTATATATTTTATGTTATTTTCTGTGACATGGTATGTATGTGTTAATAAACATATAATAGATATATATATATAAAAGGATTTGTTCTTACCCATCCCTCCACTGGTGAAATACTCTGTCCTGCTGAAATGTGGAGAGGAATAGCCACACACTTACGGTCTCCATCCAAAATATGACAAACATGAACCAGATTGATGAGAGTAGCACCTCACACAGCATCTTAAAGTCTGTTAAGGAAAATCAAATAGTGTGTTAAAAGTACTTTTTAATTTGATTGGCAATATGGTAGGCATTTAGCTCGTCCAAAGTCATGAATATGCTACATTTAATAGCAATAATAACATTACAAAGGACAGATATAGTCAGTGTCTTACTTACTTACTTACTTACATTCAACGTTGCATTGCTTGTACTTCTATGTTGCTAACTAGCGTTAGCACAATGCATTGCTAGCCACATTTAACCGTAAATAATACATAGATATGTTTTTCTTATTAACCTCAAATCACAATATGATTGTTCCGCTCACTTACGTCCGGGCTTGACTTTATGACACCATTGTTTTTCTTACAAAATCAGAGAAAGACATTTGTTTAACATCTTCATCCTCTTCATCGCACCATATTACTTCCGGGGTTTCGGGCAATCTGCAGCGAGTCTCAAAAGGTAGTGCGCGGACCGTGCCAAGTAAAAAAATAAAATTAAAAAAAATATACATACGCTACCATATGTTATTCTATGTATATGTCAACCAAAAAAATCATACATTCAACAAAATGCATTTTAACTTTTTTATTTCTTTTTAACACTTTTTTTAACCCACATTTAGTTATTTTATGTAGCATAATCTCTGACAATCAACAGCATGTTCTACCATCTGTACATTTAATACAAGTTATGCATGTAGTGGTAATGTGCCCAAAGAATACTGTCATCTTCAAATAAATGTAATCTATTTTCATAAATTGCCTGTCACAACATCCGTGAGGCCTTTTGATGCCACACTGCACATTTTAATTTGCTTTTATGTGCAAAAAACTAAAATCAATTACACTATTAAGGGCTGCCAGGGGTTTAGACATCAGCATGGCACAAGGTTTTATAAAATTCCAATGTTTACAGAGTGTCATTCGAAATCTTGCACAAATTCAGTCAGGACACATTTTGACATGAAAGTAAAACATAATTGTTATAAGCATGGGTATGCCTGTCACTCAAAACATTCAAACAGTGAACAGAACATGTGCATAATAAGTCTTGGTTGGCTTGTATGTTGAGGTTTGCTTGGCCTGGCTAACATTCAAACTGTTGGCGGTTGATACATGCAAGTATAAATGTGTATTTTTGCATGACATAAACTCAAAAAGGGAAATCCAAGAATGTTGTACCAAAAATTACATTTGTAAAATGACACGTTGTAAGGGGAAGTCTGTTAATCAAAATAATGTGCACAATAGATGGAAGAAAATCTAGAACGTTGTCCCATTTGAGAAAAATAGTGCTAGTGCTAGTTAAATATTTATCTTAGAAATAATTTTCAAAAATAGTTTTAGTCACTGAATGTTTGCATAAAATATATACATTAAAACATACAATTAAACTTGAAGGATAATCTTTCATGTATGACTGATATACTCAAATCAATATGAACATACAAGCTATAAGGAAATGAGGGCACTCAAATAAACAAAGAGCTTTGCCAGTTTGATTCAATTTTAGTATTTGGCCATTTTTACAGTGTGTAAAAGAACATCTGCTACAATTACGTTAGTAAAGTATGTGCTAAAAGTTTAGTCACTCATGTTATTGGAAGCATGCGTGACAAAACACCTTGATACGGTATCATTAGTGTTACTTAGCACGGCTCAAAGCTATCTTATTTTAGTATTAGTGGTAGCAAGCCTGCTGTTATGGTCAGGACAACACTATTTTATATTTAAGCTGAGCAAAAATCAATTCTGAAATATATACAAGAGCACATTATATATTGTTATAGTCCTGCACTTGGGAACAGAAATATCACACTGCAATAAACCATACACATACTATCAACGTATCCATCTTTACTTTTACACAAGGAATAAAAAGTTGTGTAAAGTGCTGTGAAATAGGCAGCAGTTTTAAAGGCACAGATCAATGACACTGAAATGTCCCCACTATGGGGACAAATTAAAGTATCTTCTCTTAATCTACATCAGCTACAAACATGTGTAAGAGCCGAGAAACAAAGGGGTATGTGTGTCCCAATCTAAAAAGGCATATTCATTAGTTACCTGGGGAAAGACATTTCCAAAAAAGGCATTAGGACCACACTATTTTACAGATTTAAAGGATTCTGGACATGTTGTACAATGGGCTGCTAAAGATGTGGTAAGAACAATAAAATCATCTGAACGTTCATTAGCATGTCCCTCAATGACTGACTTAAAACAAAAATAAAAACAAATGGGTTAAAGGCACAGTAGTATTCTTCTAATTCCAAGAAGAAAAACATAGTGCAAGTCAAGTGACTAAATGGATATTAAATTATCTTCAAAGACCATTACAGCAGGCTTGTTTAAGGGCAGCAAAGCAATAAGTGTTGTGCTTAGATTAACATAACAGAATTCACCAGTGTATGAATGACAAAAAACCAAAATAACGTTATGTCATATCCTAAAGTGTGCATATCTAAAGTTAACAGTGTGCAAAGTTATGGCTGTGGGTAAAAATTGTCCAAAAGTACTGTGTAAATACTTGATGTGTCAAACAAAAAGTAATTTATTGAGTGCCAATCACCTGCCTTAAAAGCCCTTTTAACCTGAGCAACATGAATTTCCTTGGTGACACTGAGGAGAACAGTGAGTGCAGAGCTACAGGACAAAGTCATTTCTCTGGCTTGCTGTGTCCAACAAAACCCACATTCCCAACCTCTACCTCAGAACTCAGAAAAATAATATGCATTTAAGTGTAGGAAAGGTGTGAGCCATTTGAGATCTGAGAGGTTACACTGGCACTCCGGCTCATGGCTGCATCGTTGCGTCCTCCTGAAGGTATCCTGCCCATTCCTTGTGGACTGTTTTGTACTGCCCCACTGCTACGAGAGACCAGAGAACCAGAAGAATGTCCCCATGGGTGTTGCCCCCCACCCCTGGTGTGATAGTGGTGTTGGCTGGCTGAGTGGCCTGAACTACCACTTCCCCAGTGTTGTCCATGGGAACTTCTGGACTGCTGTTGGTGCTGATGACTCCAGTTCCCCGAAGCTCCCGGAAAACTGTTGCTGAGGGCCTCTGGGGATATGTTTGCGAGCACCATGTTACTAAAGCCAAGGCGCATACTCTCTGAGTCAAACGCTTCAACCTCACGTGCTTGGCGTTCAAGAAGACTCCGGATTCGTTCCAAACGCTCATTTCTCAAAGACAACATCTCTTCCTCAATCTGAAAACAAACAAAATGTTTGAAATGGAAAGTGTTTAATATATATATATATATATATATTATATATTATATATATAAATTTTTCTTCTTCACTTTACAACACTGACCTTCTGCTCCAGCAGGGCTCTGCGCAGGGACACTCTGTGCTCCAGGTCTTTCTTCTCCCGTTCGTGTTGAGAGTCTGTCTGCATCTTTATTTTGCTCTGGTAGGCATTCAGCAGTTCTAGCTCCTGCTGCAGCTGCATTCTTAAAGCTTGGCACTGAGCCTCCTGAGTCTCATCCAGGCGAAGCTAAGAACAAATCAGGGGAGGCAATCAGCATCACTTCAACTGGGACGGAGCATGTTACTACTGTAGTCTATACATTCACAAAAGGTCACAACAACAATGTACTGTAGGTATGGATTCATACTCACTGCTTGAGTTGAAAGCATCTCATTGATTGAATGTTCGTACTGCTCAGCCAAGATGGCCAGTTTGCGCTGCTGTTCGTGTTTAAGACGCTTGAGGACTGCCTTGTGCTCAGACTTTGGTGTGGTCTCCAGAAGATGATTCCTCAAAGCTTTATACTGTCTCGTCTGTATCTTACATGTATCCTGAAATTGTTTCTTGATGTGGAACTCTTTGGACTGTTGAATGGATAATAATTCATAAACACATACTTGAAAGTAATTTATTCTGATGCGGGAACGCATCTCACCTTAAGGCTCTTGGGCTGCTGCCGCACTTCCATGCCATGTTTCCGTCTAAGTTCTCTCTCTCTCCTTTTGTTGTACTCCTGCTGATTGGTGAGCTCAGTCTGGTGTTGCATGCGAATGAGGTCAGCTCTGGTCTTTTGGATATTATTGAGCTGCCTAAACTCCAGTTCTTGCATGGATTCATGATGCCGTAGAAGCATAGCATGTTCTAAGTCTTTCTGTGTCTGCCGCTTGTTTAGCTCCTAATTTGGACAAAATGTAAAAAAAAAAAAGGTCACAAGAACTTAATCTAAGGATTCTTTATAAAAAAAAAAAAAAAAAAAATACAATATCACAACTACATTTTTATATACTCACCTCACGCACTAAATCCTGTTCTATGTTGTGGCGGGCAATCAAAATTCTCCGCTTGAACCTGCGACACTCCAGTTCTAAGTACTGTCTCTGCCTCCGTTGTAAGTTTGCTTCCTCTTCTGCCTGGAAATGTTGGAAATTCTCTTTCTGTTTTGACAGCCAATCTTGTTTTTCTTTCTTTGGTGTTGACTGGTTTTCATTCAATTCCTTTAAAAAACAATAACAATTTGACAATTGGTCCAGAAGAGAGGGATTTTTATCAACATATCAACTGCCGGAAGGCAGAAAGAGCAGTGTAACCTGCCACAAAAACACAGGATGTCATCCAGGTAAATCTTAAGGATCACCCTCCCTGTACAGGGAGGATTCAGTTATTTTTCATTTAACAGCATCAGTATTAGAATTCACTTGTGTCAATATAGTCAAGCTATATCTCTTTTGAAAGCTTATTCCCACCTCTATACACGCATTATGTTCAAATAAACATTAAATATAACCAAAAGTAAGAATAAGTAGTCAAACTGTATATATATTTAAAATATATATTGTCCTTTCTTACCTTGTCATGCTAATATTCTGGGGCAAATCACGTCTAATCCACACATGTGTGCATTAGTTTTGTTCGTTAGGGTCTAGAGAATAATTATATCCAGTTGTTTTTTCTTCAAAGTCATCCTTATAGTAGATATCCACTTGTAACAACATATTTGAGCATTGAAAGTTGCACAAACAAAAACAAAACCTGTTCTTTGCGCACTGTGTGAAGAGGACATTTTACTGTTTAGCTAGCGTCACTGGGTATGTTCGTCTTCCCCTAGGCCTCCCCTTCAAAACAAGCCCATTCCCGGACTTTTCAGTGCTATGGTTTGGAAGGTAGAGTAAGTTGAGTAAAACAAGCGCACCTAGCTTTAGCGCTCCATTCACATAGATATCTGTGCGTCATGACAGCATTGTCTTGACTACCATTGGCCGATTTGGATGTCAATCAAATCATCTTGTAGCCAATAATCTCAGGTTTCAGGCGATGTGTCGGACTTCTAGCTTCCTCCCACTGTTCCCGTCATATTTGAATGCGTAAAGAGGAAGACGGAGCCTTTTTCACGGAGAACACGCGCTATAACTATATAAATAATAGCTTTTCTGTAAACATTTCAATATCTGGAAAAAATGCTATTTATAGCAAGAGTAATAGCCAAAAAATGATATAAATGGATTTTTGGTGTAAAAACATTGATAATTTGCATGTAAAACACTTTGGCACAGTTGGCACAAAAATGGACCACTTGTGCCGAATGTGCCCATTAGTTACAAAAAAGCCCCCAGCATCAAAATAGTTCCACCTAAAGGTCTAAAATTTCATACAGGTGTTTCCAACACCACAAACATCTGCTCTGGTGAGTTTGAACATCATACCATAAAGTATGTCTTCAGGAGAACCTTTTGAAATTGCCTTCTTTTTTTTTGACAAAAAAAACTAACTTTGACTCATGTTTGAGAAGGTGTAGTGCAGACTGTGTCCTTCCTAACAAACTGTAACATACATTCAGAAACTAGAAGGTGTTACCTTTCAAATGAGGCCTCATAACACAAAATCAGACACAAGATGTCCACACAATAAGCATTTCCATTTGGGTATCATAATTCGAGAAGGAGCAAGCGAAATTAGGTGATCCTTAAAGGGTTAAACAGCTCGATAGTGGTTCTTGAGAATGTGAACAATCAACAAAAACTAATATATGGCATGTGTATTTGGAGTTTAACACATTAAGTTTGACCATCCCGATGATACATTTTGAACAGTTAACAGCATAACAATCCTGGCGTGTCTCTTTTTCTGCAGCGGATAAACATTGTTTGACAATAATACACTTGTGACACTTTTTACCTCCTTAAGTTGTTCTTTGCGTAGCTTATATTCCCGTTTTTGGGATTCCAAAAAGCTATTAAGTTCTTTCTTCTGCTGGTTCTGAATGTGCTGTTGGAACTTCTTCTCATCATTGCTAAAAGTCTTTCCCTGTGAAAGAATTATGACATTAGTCTAAAACAACTGACTCATCACAAAAACGTGAGTCTTACATCTTTGTCAATAGATGCATGGTGTTTCTTGATTAGTTTCTCCATTTCCTGAGCAAAGCTGTTCCTCTGATTTTCAAGTTCCTTGTCAAGGCGCAGTCTGTGCTCGTCCGTCTCAGCTTTGAGCTTGTTTTCTAGGGCCATCAACTGTTTCTGGTGCTGTCGCCTCATTCGTTTGTAGCCCAAAATTTGCTCTCTAAGCTCAGAATTTTGCTCATGCTCTTGGCGTGTAAGCTGTAAAAGTAAATGAATAATAATTCCTATCCAAATGCTTCATGAACATGTAACCACATGAAACTTACAGCTGAGACAGTGCGTATAGTGGCAAAGTCTTCACGGTTTCTCTTTGGTCTTTGAGTTTGTGCAGTTGGACACTGTGGATCAGCTGGTCGAGTCTGAGGCTCAGCTTTTTCAGTGACAGGTTCCTCATTCTGTATAAAACATGAAGGAATAGATGTAATATTGATTCTTATGTAACATCGTGTTTGGTAGTCTGTAGTCTATACCTGTGCGAGGTGTATGACAGAGCTATTGGACATTACAGTGTGGTCACCCTCCATTTCCAACTCGCTCTTGTCATCGCCGGCATCTGTCAGACTGTTGACAGAGCTGCTCTGGGAGCTGGCACTTATTGACATACTGGGAATAGACTGATTGCTTCCGATGCTATTCACAGTACCAGTGCGGTTAACCATACTCTCAGACTCCTAAAAACCAGAATTGTAATAAGATTCGCATGGCACAGAATTCAGATGAACCATTCGGATGGCATACCTCCTCTTCATCTTGCACATCAGTTGCTGGGCCGTTGTGAGCTTCCTGAAACAAGAGCTTTTTCATTTTACGACCCTGCAGATATTCCAATTCCCTTACTGCATCCTTGGTTCGATTTATCAAGTCCACTAATACGGATTCAGGTCTTTCTCGCTGAACAAATGCATGCTGGAAAACAAAACATGGAAGATTAGTCAGAAAAAAATAGCTTTTAAGTCAGCCAGATCACTACAGTATCTAGTACATTTTTCTAAATCACGAGTTCAGGAGGCATCCGAGTGGTGATTATCGCTACTACCCATTTGTTTTGAAAAAAATCCCTGCATGGCACAGCATCATAATGTCTCAAGTACAAATTAACAACCACTTTGGTCAAAATATCCACAGGTTCATTTATCACCCCCGCTGTATAGTGATGGGGCCGTTTCATTAGTAACAACTTACCTTTCTCAACTTCTCTCAACTTTATTTTAGCTCCCTCGTTTCTTCTCCTTCCTCTGAGCGTAACAGAGCCCTTATCTTACATGAATAACAAGCCACTCCTGCGGCTTTTACAAGCAGGATTTTATTTACGCAAGTATAATTATTTGTGACTAAATAAAAGTCTATTCAGAGCACGCAATAGAGCTTTGCCTTTTATCCTCTTTGTGTATTTGTTTGACGCTGTCCATGCCCAAATAGTTTACTGAATTTCAAACTGTGTAGTGTCCCAATCATTTCTGTGACTGCAAAAAACTTTGATATGCAAGACATGACTGAGCAGACCTAACATAGCCAGCTTTAACCATTTTTCCAACTCACCTTTAAGAGCTCTTCAGAGTTGGGCCTATCTTGTGGAAATTTTTGAAGGCAAGAATCTACAAAGTTTCTGAAATAATCCGTCCTAGAAATTAGGAAGAAAAAAAATTCATCCAAAACAAAAATAACAAACGACAAGCCCAAAATCTAATGGACCCACTTACCAGTCATTGGATTGGAGTGTTGGACTTTCATTCTGTGCAATATGGTATAAGGCACTCATTGCATTCATATTGAACAAAGGGGGTTTTCTCTCCGCTGTTGAGGGGAAATAATATTCATGTTTTAGAGTTGCACTAATCTGAAATATGAACCCAAAATCAACAGACAGAATGTTGGATGTACCGAATTCTATGCAGGTGATTCCTAAAGACCAGATATCTATTTTGCCATCATACTGTCCCTCGTCCATTGCTAAAATGACCTCTGGAGCCATCCTGTAGTAAGAAAAACATAGAGATCAAGACAGTCTTGCATGCTACCGGTTAGAAAAGTACAACATACCAATAAGGGGTTCCAACAAAAGAGTTGGCAGGACAGGCTATAGACGCAGAACCAAAATCTGCCAGTTTCACCTGTCCGTACTCTGTCAGTAAGACGTTTCCTGCCTTTATGTCTCTGTTAAAAAACAAATAACAAAATAATTGATACAAAAAAATACTACATCTGCTGTGAATATAGAGAAGAATAAGGTCTGAGGTCATTCATTTTGTTAATAATAACCATATAAAATATGACGACAGGAGTACAAGAGAAAGACATTATGGAAGAAAAAATAGCATTGAAATCTAAACAAATAGTTGATTAACAATACCATTGCACTTCTGTTTTGAAGCCCTGGTCGACTGATTATCAGGGCTGATATTTGGCCAGTATAGATTTACTGGATACAAGGCAGGACATTTTGATGAAATCAAGTACAAGTAAGCATACCTGGGAAATCTGAATCCTCACTGTCAAATAACATCCAGGCTACACAGTGAGGGCCAAGTGTTGTAATGAAGTTTGTATTATGCAAACTCTTGATATCAATACATATCAAAATATATATTGTTACATTTATATAGAAAGAAGTATCAGAAGATTATTAACTCTGGTGTAAAAATACATACAAATACTATCTAAACTAATCTAAACCACTTCAGCTCTAGTTAATCATGTGCTGGTGTTTAGGTAGTGAGGATTAAACCAGCTACTTGCATGTGGTATGTTCGGCATTCTGATTGGATAATCTGCTTGACAAATTTAAACATCAATGATGTGTCATTTTTAAATGATATACTGTAAATATGACATTTTGAATCAAAACTTTATATGGTGCTTTAAACCAAATATAAAAGCTGGCTACCGTGGTTTGAAAGAGTCAACAATGTTTGTTAAACACTCACCTGTGAATCATGTTGTGGGAATGAAGATAGGCCAAGCCTTGCAAAGCACCATGGGTAATTGCAGCAATTTCCACTTCTTGCAGGGGTTTTTTGTGAACTAGTAACAAAATGGTCATTGAATCATAGGAAATCAATTACACACGTTTTACAAGATGAAACAAGTATGAATACTGGTTTTACCTTCTAATAAGTCTGAAGCAGAGCCTAGACAATACTCCATCACAAGCTTTGCAAAATCACCAGAAGTAGTATAAAAGTTAATTAATCAAAATCATGGTAAAATATATCACAATAATTGAAGAAAACACCAAGATAAAGTTAACTCAAAATAGAAGTGATTAGGAGCATTAGAGTTTAAGAGTGAGTGGAGCAGCCCGTCTTATCTGGAGAATACGCCTTACCCAGGCAGTGTGCTCCCGAAGATAACATCCTTTATATTCTATGCTGTTTGGATGTTGGATTTTCTGAAGAAATGTAACTTCCTTAATGATGTCTTGCCATTTCTAATAAAAAAACAATATAAGAGGAGCAATATAAGAGTAGCAAGAGTACCAATAATGGTACATCTTAATGTAACCATTAATAATAATAATAATAATAATAATAATAAAATCATAATTCTTACTACCTCCATTGGTTGCTTTCCACTATAGGACATTTTCTTGATGGCAACAACATCGTTTGTTCGCACATCTCGCGCCTGTGAGAAATGTTAAAAAGTTTTAATTTCTCAGGTTAATGAAAACTTAAAGATAATTAACTTAACACAAAAGTCTGGATTGAAAAAGGTGTATATTACATGTATGTCGGTTACTTACAAAGTATACAGCACCAAAGCTCCCATGGCCAATCTCCTGAAGGTCGGCAAAAAGCTTTTCGGGATCTTCCTTGCAGAAGAGATCTGCAATTTCGGGGTCCTTCAGACACCCTGCCCGACTAATGTTGGGCATAATTGGAAATTGGGGGCAACGCCGCTGTCGCCAGTAACTACCTGGGTCTGTGACAGCGACTCGACTGCCCCCTCTGAAGGCTCATCTGCAGAGCAACGGTCTCATAGGTTCAGATCTAAAACAGAAAAACATCCTCATTAGGATCAACTACCTGAACCACCACATACTGAACTATCAGTATTGCTACTTTTCCACACACATTCACAGATATGGGACAAGACAAGACCTATATAGCTGGGGAATAATAATCATTGAAGTTTATCAAGATGTTTACATAGCAACACTTTGCTTTGTCTGACTTTCAAAAACATTCCAGTGATGCGAAATACCAGTACCACGAGTATATAAGGACACTAAAGTGTTGTTGATTTTCAAATGGAAAACAAGTTAGCTTTGGTAATTTATCAGTAAGAACACATGTATTTATTTATTATTCTTGTTTACAATGAAGCAAGAGAATGGAAAAGCTTGAGGCCCTCTTAAAACTGTATGCTATCTTACAGCTTAAAACACAAACAGTAATGCGACTTTCTTCTGCAAATTTCTTCATTGATTGATTAATACAGTCCACACAGAAACCTCCAGCCCATGTTGAACAGATGTTTAATAGAGGCTTGAAGGAATTGCTCTGGAAAGTGTGTGTGCCACTGCCTCAGATGATCAGTGGTAAATAGATGCAGAACTGACGCTACAGTCACAAGACCTTTACCCAGCCAGAAACAGCCCCTAGTTTAAGCTGACATCTTTTGTATCACCACCACACTGCACACACTATCTGACAGTGACGCAACCAGCCCTCTGAGATACAAGCCTGTTACAAACCACATGGGACTATGCCTCTTTATGATCATTGTTCATCAAGACATTGTTCCTTGTGAATAAGTCGTGCTGTCATATTTTGTGATGGCATGTTTCATTGTGGCTGCGGTGAACACACAAGTCAGTGATGATAACTGAAACCTTCAAAAAAAACACCTAACATTCCACCTATCACACATGCACAAGAATGCAGAACGACAGGACAACTAAGCTGGAGGGCTGGAATTCTCAATGTATGCATCACTGTGAGGCATATCGACATTTCTCGACATTTCCTGTTCACAAATAATTCACAGGTTGCAACACTGCATTGGAAATATAAAATACTAAAATTAAACAAACGCAGTCTGGTTTTCATTTTAGAACATTGAACCTGCAGAGATTATTTCAGCAAATAAATTAAGTGAGTCAACCACAGTCATTGAAATTGAGCTGAAACAATATTTGTATAAATACTGTGTATAAAAGAGACAGTGTTAAACGTATTATTTAAGTGAGATATGAATGTCCATGTGATAAAAGGAGAGAATAAAGCTAAACCGCCCTTACATATCCATTTATGAAAATAAGTCATATAATTTTAAGTTAACGTGGAAAGTGTGAATTATATTATTCTATTTAAAATCTTTTTAAACTTTTTACTATGATTTTGTCTCAAAAGTGACTTTAATGTTGTGTTAGCATCACAGCAAAGTTAGCACGGTAAAGTTATGTGTCATGACAGTAGACAGGTTTCTAAATAAATGATACTCTGACCACTTACATATATAACTAATACATAGATGATCTACGGATGGGTGTGTTCTAACAACTACCGTAATAATCATTCCATAAACAAACTAAACTGGTAGTTTTGTGCGTTAGCTTAGCCACCTCAAACTCACCACTTGTGACAGGCCAGGCTCCTGCGCTGCGGACTATGTCGTGTTATTAACTACACTCAAGAGATTATGGCAGCAGTCCGCCTTCCTTATTCCCAGTGCCAAGATTCCAATGGGTCGAAAACGCAAGATCTCTGGGACTGTCAGTCGACTTAAGCCTGAATATTTCCTTAAATGTGACGGACTAAAATCCCCACCCTGAAGTAAGTGCGGCGCTGGAGTTGTCGAGTCCCACTCCCAGGCTGATCCAAAGATGGCTGCCAAGCTTTCCGCCGCCTCCCTTAGTCAAAATACGAAAGGAAACCGTCTAAACACGCTCAAAAGTCACACAATATCAAGGCAAGTATGCGATATTTTGCTACAAAAAGAACAGCGATAATGAGGATAAACGGAATACTTTGTTGTTTAGTTATGTTGAAACTCTGCGCTGAGAACATGCCCGCGGCAAAGTATCATACCAGTTCCTCTTTGACTGCTGCAGTAAAATGTTTCTTATGGTTACTCTTTCATATTTACAGTCATCATGCCCCTCACATTATTGAGTGGCTGCATTTGTATTCGGGCAAATATATAAATAGTCACATCGCTGACAATTCGGGGTCTTAAACTATAACAATACATAATCAATACACACAATATATAGCTATGCAAATGATTATTAAGTCAAGTAATCGTGAATTACAAAGCTAGTTTTAATGTTTTCAATGTATACGCTGTCCAATTATTTTTTGATTACTTTGCATTACTTTTTGTAATTTAACTAGAATCTGGCAACTCTGCTCATATGACTAAGAGCTGTTCTTTGTCTTGTGTTCTAATCTATAGGTCTAAGACTGAATGATTAGAAAGTACAATATTGTTGTGTGTGGTTTTTTTTTAATAACACTATTAATAAAACTAGAAATAACTAATGTTTACGACTTATTCTGAAAGGGTCCGGAAAAGCTAAAGACACGCCTCTTCTATTACGTTCACCCATTGCGGAAGTGGCTCTCTTTCCCACATGGCAAAAGATGGCTGCAAACGGAGAAAAACAACAGGGCCACAGACCCGGCGTTTATAAGCAGAAAAATAAAGGTCATAAACATGGCAAGCATCGGACGAAGGGTGATCTTGAAAGGGATAATAAAGGTATGCATTGACCTCATATTAAAATTGTACAGACTCACGTGCTTGAAATATGTGTTCACATCCCTTTTGCACATTTAGTTCTGACATTAGTGGACAAACAGCATGTAGTAAGTGATGTGAAGCCGTGTTCAATACAATACATATGTGCAGAGATTTAGTATCAAATAATTCAAGTTTAATTGGTTGCTTTTGCAATGCGCCAGCTTCATTATGAGCCAAGCTATTGTTAGTATTAGATAGCAATATGGCCTACGTGCAGGACTCTACAAGGACTCTGATTATTTTGACTATGATGTGCACTGTCTCTGTGTGACACGTATGTCTTTCGATATGTGACGTGACAATGACTATATAAACTGTGTACGGACTCCATTCTGTCTGAGAGAAAGAAACAATTGAAACCAGTGGAACTTGAGAGAAACTTAAATAAACTTCCAGAGTTTGGCGCACCACGATCCGTCTCTGTCTGATTCATTCCTGACACTATTTTTCAGTACCCAGAGAGGGTCCTAAAACTGTATATTGATGGGATTAATTTGTTCTTGGTGTTTAGGCAGAGTATCGGTAACCGTCATCAGCAAAAAACAAAGGAGAGAGCAGAGGAAGATGGACAGGAGACATAATGCAAACCAACTACGACGGAATAAAAAGGACATGGTAAGTTTTTCATATTCTAAAATGTACCATCTGTTATTGTTTCTATGTTTTGATAGTAAATGTTTCAGGTTCTGGCAGAAAAACGGAGATTGGGTAGCAAGGACGGCCCTCCTCACTTGGTTGTTGTTGTGACACTTCATGCCCAAGTCAGTGCCAACGCTGTCACTAAACTTCTTCGTGAGGAAGGAGCAGGGGGCATTGTACATCAAGAACGATTCATCAGTGGGGTTCCGGACAGTTTTGGATTAATGCTGCCCCGATTTAAACAAAGATTCATTGTAATGAATCAAAGTACTGGTATGGAATTGTGTTATACTAAAATAGATTGTGTTAATATTATACAAATGAATGTGTTGAAACGGCCTTCTTGGTATCTCAACCATATTGTGTGTTTCCTATTGAACAGCTGATTTGCACTCCCTGCTGGATATTGCAAAGGTTGCAGACAGTCTTGTATTTGTGTTGGACCCCACTGAAGGCTGGGACAGCTATGGGGACTACTGTCTTTCTTGTCTCTTTGCTCAGGGCTTGCCCAGTCATGGTAAGTCATTATAGCATTATTATTATTTTCTTTAATACAACACACTTTTTACATTGATTATTTGATTTTCTGTTGTTTCATAGCACTGGTATGCCTTGGCCTAACTGATCTTGCCATGAAAAAAAGAATTGATGCCAAAAGAGCGCTCTCAAAAATAACTGAGAGCCGTTTTCCTGATGCACGTCTTTTCTCTCTTGACACGGAGCAGGAGGCGACACTGTTGCTAAGACATCTGGGAAGTCAACGACAACGAAAATTAGGATTTCGCTCCAGACGCTCGCACCTTTTAGGCCAGAACATCACCTTCACTCCTAATTCTGAAGGCAACACTGGCCTTGGGACTCTCTGTGTCTCTGGTTATGTCCGAGGCTGTCCTCTGTCTGTGGACAGATTAGTTCACATTAGCGGTCATGGCGACTTTCAGCTCAGTCAAATTGATGCCCCAGCAGATCCACTTCCCATGAACATTTCAGCTCTTCGAGTAGCAAAGCCTGGCAAAGATGTTGACATGATTGTAAGTTTTTTTTATTTTACAATATTATAATCAGGTTAACCTTATATATTCGTTTTATCAAAAGTGGTGGCATGTCTTAAAACATAAAAAAAATGCTACTTGCTTCTGAAGTGAGCTTGCTTTATCCATCCTCTTTTCATCCTCTGTATTAGTGTGAAGATGTGGGAAATTGTCTTCTGCAGGTTAGAAATAAAATCTAGCTTAAAGGTATATTTTCTACTTCCGGGTGGATCATCAAGACCAATTGCCAATCATTCTGGCGATACTTGGTCGTCAAACAAGACCAGATAGTTTTGTTAAAAAAGTGGAGAGGCTGGGTCTTTCCTAAAATTTGGGAAAAACCTCCTATATACCTTTTTTAAATAAATATTTTTAGATTGTAGCCATAGATGAACTGAATGGAAGTCAAGTAGTATTGAGTGTTGAATGTCATGATCATAGACAATGTCCATTGTTGATCAGTAAAGTTTGTTTTATAGTTAATAAATCTAACTACAGTTTGTTTTGTCAGGATGGAGGTGCAGAGGAGCCTACTCGAGTGCTAATGAGAGCAGACCCATCTCGTCGGGAAAGTCTGCAGGCTGAAGCAGAAGTGGACCCCATGGATGGAGAACAAACATGGCCCACAGAGGCAGAGTTGCTCGAAGCTGAAGGTTGTTGCCTCCATCAAGGAGGTTATTATATATTCAGTGTTAAGGGGCGTTCACACCGGACTTAACTCCGGCGTCAAAAGCGTCAGGTTTGCATTGAAAGTGAATGGTGAAGCGCGCCAGGTGAAGCCGAGAGCCCCGGCGTCACTTGACGCGCATCAAAAGCTTCAAAAGTCGCGCGTAATACGCGCTCACTTGAAGCTTTTGACGCGCGAAACGCTCGCGTATCACAACAATCCCTTTGACGCCGAAGCTGAGCAAAGCTGAGCTTTTGAAGCTTTGACGCGAGCTTCAACCAATCAGGAGACGAGGAGCAGCAGCAGTCTCTGTCAATGGAGAGAAGTCATGTATCTACTGCTGCTGCTGTTTTATTGTCATTATTGTTATTAGTAATATTAATTTGTTTGAGTAGTAACGTTCTGAGTAACAAAAATCATTGTACACATGCTGTGTAGTAAACGTAGTTTATTTAAAATAAGAACAGGCTGACAATGAGTCTGGCTCAGAGCAAGGCAGCTCCGGGCGGGCGAGAGCCGGGAAGAGGCAGGGAGAGGCGAGCGAGAGCCAGGGAGAAGCAGGGAGAGGCGAGCGAGAGCCGGGAAGAGGCAGGGAGAGGTGAGCGAGAGCCAGGGAGAAGCAGGGAGAGGCGAGCGAGAGCCGGGAAGAGGCAGGGAGAGGCGAGTGAGAGCTGGGGAGAGGCGAGCGAGAGCCGGGGAGAAGCAGGGAGAGGCGAGCGAGAGCCGGGAAGAGGCAGGGAGAGGCGAGCGAGAGCCGGGGAGAGGCAGGGAGAGGCGAGCGAGAGCTGGGGAGAGGCAGGGAGAGGCGAGCGAGAGCCAGGGAGAAGCAGGGAGAGGCGAGCGAGAGCCGGGAGAGGCCGGGAGAGGCGAGCGAGAGCCAGGGAGAAGCAGGGAGAGGCGAGCGAGAGCCAGGGAGAAGCAGGGAGAGGCGAGCGAGAGGCAGGGGGAGGCAGGGAGAGGCGAGCGAGAGGCAGGGGGAGGCAGGGAGAGGCGAGCGAGAGCTGGGGAGAGGCAGGGAGAGGCGAGCGAGAGGCAGGGAGAGGCGAGCGAGAGCCGGGGAGAGGCCGGGAGAGGCTGGGAGAGGCGAGCGATAGCCGGGGAGAGGCAGGGAGAGGCGAGCGAGAGCCGGGGAGAGGCGAGCGAGAGCCGGGGAGAGGCGAGCGAGAGCCGGGGAGAGGCGAGCGAGAGCCGGGGAGAGGCGAGCGAGAGCCGGGGAGAGGCGAGCGAGAGCCGGGGAGAGGCGGAGCGATAGCCGGGGAGAGGCGAGCGATAGCCGGGGAGAGGCGAGCGATAGCCGGGGAGAGGCGAGCGAGAGCCGGGGAGAGGCGAGCGAGAGGCGGGGAGAGGCGAGCGAGAGGCGGGGAGAGGCGAGCGAGAGGCGGGGAGAGGCGAGCGAGAGGCGGGGAGAGGCGGGGAGAGGCGAGCGAGAGGCGGGGAGAGGCGAGCGAGAGGCGGGGAGAGGCGAGCGAGAGCCGGGGAGAGGCGAGCGAGAGCCGGGGAGAGGCGAGCGAGAGCCGGGGAGAGGCGAGGGAGAGGCGGGGAGAGGCGGGGAGAGGCAGGGAGAGGCAGGGAGAGGCAGGGAGAGGCCGGGAGAGGCCGGGAGAGGCAGGGAGAGGCAGGGAGAGGCAGGGAGAGGCAGGGAGAGGTGAGCGATAGCCGGGGAGAGGCAGGGAGAGGCGAGGGAGAGGCAGGGAGAGGCGAGCGATAGCCGGGGAGAGGCAGGGAGAGGCGAGGGAGAGGCAGGGAGAGGCGAGCGAGAGGCAGGGAGAGGCCGGGAGAGGCGAGCGATAGCCGGGGAGAGGCGAGCGAGAGGCGAGCTCCGGGGTTTGAGAACTCAGACTGGGCGAGTGACATGCGGAAGTACCGCTGAAAGCGAAACTCCTCCGTACGCAGCTCCTGGAGTAAATGACGGAACTCTGCAAACACTGCAGCCTCTCAAGTCTGTGGTGAACCCAGAACATGTTTTGTTGAAGCCCTACAACAACGTTATTTTGCTTTATATAACAAATAAAGGCTCGCTGCTCATTGAAAAATCCACCGCTGTCCTGACTACAGGCAACAGAGAAGCTCCTCCCACCGGCGTCAGGCGCATCACTCGCGTCAAAAGCTTTAAGCATCAAAATGACAAAACTATCCCGGCGTCAGTTGAAGCGCGTCAAAAGCTTTTTGAAGCTTTTGGTCTGAACGCGCCTTTAGTTATTTGGCATTGCCAACTTGACTCAAAAAGTTATGGCCGGATATAGATACAAATCTACTTTCTATTCAAAAACAGACCTTGAGTGGCTTTTTAACCGTTTTCTTAAGGTATATTTATGATAGTGATGTTAAGTTTGAGTAAGTAATAAGGGAAAGTTCCAAGACTCCTCAGAGGCTTCTTTACGGGACCAACATTTGTCAGACCCATTTTATGTTTGCTGTTATAACTTTGTAAGTGATTACATTAATTACAAAAAAAAGATTGGCAAATTACACTTTTTACAAAAAAAATTACGAATCGACAATATGAAAAATTTACTTATCGGGGCCCTTGCCTTATGTTGTTTGATTTAGAGTCTAGGAAGAACAAACGTGTGATGAAAGTGCCAAAGGGAACATCGGATTACCAGGCCGCATGGATTGTGGATGAGGAAAACGAAGACGTCGATGGAGAAAGCAGTGAGGAAGATGATGATGATGACGATATGATGGATGAAGCCATGGAGGGAGATGAGGATCTACATTCACAGGTAACACTGATTGTCTATTTTATGCAACATGAAAACTGCAGTTCTGTGCTTCATATATATAGTTCATGTATAAATTTTCAATCAATAAAAGCTCTAAAAAGACTGACTGAATTAGAAGCAAAGGGGAGAATCACTTTTTAGTTAATTACAGGTCTGTAATTAATGTAGAAGGATTTTCTACTTCTGGGTGGATCAATGGTCAATCATTCTGGTGATACGTGCTCGTCAAAAAAGACCAGGGTTTTGTTAAAGTGGAGAGGGTGGTTCTTTCCTAAAACTTGGGAAAATCCTCCTAATATACCTTTTAATTAATCACAATAAATGACATTTTAATCAAAAAAACTAAATAATAGACAACAAAAGCTACCTCAACTGCCTGTATATGCCCCAACATCTTCATTTTAAAGATTGTCCATCCATCCATTTTCTACCCCTTAATCCATTTCTGGTTCGGGGGGGTGGCAATCAGAGATGCCACCCAATTCACTGAGCACCAGCCCCTCACGGATCCTCCTGCAGGTGGAGTCCACAGGAGGACGGCTGCTTTGAGCACAGCCTTGATCTTTCAGCGGGGGCTTCGGGCAAAGTGGGGTTAAGTGTCTTGCCCAAGGACACAACGACAGCAGTTGTGGGAGTCGGTGCTCTACCAACTGAGCTACTGTCGCCTCTAATCTCAAGATAAAACCCAAAATACAAGAATCATAAATACATCTGTAAATCGGTTATGTTTCAATCCAAGCACAGCTGTACACATTTTGTTCAGAAAAAATACCCAAAAAAGTATAGCCTTTTAACTTGTGATTGTTAAAAGTAATAATTAGTTAAAATTTTGTTTTAAGAACTTGCATATCATATCGTGAAGGACCCAGGAGAATCCCAGGCCTACCGCAGAGGGCTTTATTGCATTATATGGCAGCTCAGGCCACACACAGGCTTTTACGGAACAGTATCTAAACCCACTTTGTAAATGTTCTAAACTTAACTGTAATTGGTTGGCTTGTTGTCTTAGTAACAGTAGTTCCTGTCAGCTCAGCCTCAGTTAAGCAGTCAGCAGCACGAGCGTATACGTGACCTCCAGACAGTGCACCTCAGGTCTGAGAAGCTGTGTTTGTTTTTACATTGTCTGTCTCTGGCCTTCAATGCCAGGCTGTTGACCAAAACAATAGTGTTTGGAGCAGCCGTCCCTGGAGAAGCCTCCTGTCTTCCTGTTCAGTGAACAGAACTTCCTGTCTGGACAGAGGGAGGGTCTGTTCATTTATTTATTTGTAACTTTGCTATAAAATACTTCTAGCAAAGGGAAATTTTATATTTGAATTGTTTTTAAACATGTTTGATGTTACTGACTACATTTTAAACTTTAGACAAGACTTAGGTGGAACTTAAATTCATAATTATTTTACATTCATGTTGAAGCCAGGGCGTTTGAATGTGAATGATTCACTATCTTGTCGAGTACTTTCCCCTCATGTGTGTACACAGCTACCCAGAAGCTCTGGTTGATGGATTTCTGGTTGATGGAGAAGCATTAGGAATCCAATGATACACTGATGTCACGGTTTGATACATACAGTATGGCAATGTGAGGGTCACAAATTAGTTTAGCGAATTTATTACTGCAGTACAGCTCTTAATCTGTCATCCAGTGTTTAATAAAGTGAACTTTTACGTAGGTCTTTTCCAATGCAGTTTTCCAGCTATGCCTAAACACAGCTACAAATTACTACCCTCCAATTTCAGGCAGACAACACAAGGGGAGAAGCGCTCTTCAGAGGATGTTTGTTTATCAAATGATTCGATAAATAGTGGCATTTCTAGAAAGCATGTACCCACCTCATGAAATCTGCATCAGTTGACTTTTTACATCGTCCTGGAATATGTTCATGACAAAATGTAATTGTATGTGTGTGTGTAGAGCTTAAACACATCGTTAATATTTACCACCTAGGAACCTACTTCAAGTTGCGTGTCTGAAGATGATGATGCTGAAGAGGAGGAGGAAGAGGTGGTGTGCACCCCAGAGCGAGCTGGTGCGGATCAGCGCTATGATGCGAACATAGACAAAGCTGCGGAAGAGGAGGGCCTTCAGCGCTACAGAGAGGCTCGAGCCAATGAGATGTTTCCTGATGAAGTGGACACACCCCGAGACACATCCGCAAGAAACAGGTCAATCATTTTATTTTATTTATTGATAAAAATTAAACAAACAAAGTTGAAACATTCATAAAACATTCCAATATTGTAAATTGTATTGCAGGTTCCAGCGTTACAGGGGTTTAAAGAGTTTCCGTGCATCGCCCTGGGACCCCATGGAAAACCTGCCTCCAGATTATTCACGCATTTTCCAGTTCCAGAGTTTTGAACGCACCCGCAGACGCATCCTGACTGAGGCTGCAGCTGAAGACGAGGGGGCCATGGTAAATTATGTATACATACTTTAAAAAGGCTTTTTCATTTTGATTCAATATCATAAGTATACGGAAATGGTAACCCACTCATGTTGTTCACCTCTAACCGACCCACCAACCAACCAACTGCATCTGAATATTAACTGCAGACTAGGCTGATATTACAAGTTGTAAAACAATCGCCACTAACGGTTGCCAAATGAGGACACATGTAAGGCAAGGCAAGGCAAGTTTATTTGTATAGCACAATTCATACACAAGGCAACTCAAAGTGCTTAACAAGATAGCATTAAAATCATAAATAATTACAGAACATTAAAAAGAAAGTTAAAAACATAAAATCCCTCAGTTGTATGCACAGTTGTCAGAGAGGAGGCCTGTCTCACATCTTCAGGAAGACTGTTCCAGATGTACATGGTTGCTGTTCTGTTGAAAAAATAAAACGTAATAAATAAAATATATAGTGTGTAAATATTAACTCTGCCAAGATAAAATTCAGCTTAAGAAGTAAAAACATACCCCATTTAACCTATGATGTCGTTACACAAAATATTTTGTTTCAGGTGGGTTGGTATGTTACTCTGCACGTTATGGATGTCCCGTCCTCTGTGATGGATAACGTCCAGGCAGGCAGACCACTTGTTCTTGTCTCTCTCTTGCCGCATGAGCAGAAGGTTTGTTCCCTTTAGTTGAGTTTACTATTGGAATTGTTTACGATTCCATTTTTCTTCTCTTAATAAAAAGCTCACAGTCACACCCTCTTTGTACAGATGTCCGTAATGCATCTTTTGGTGAGGAGACATCCAAGCAACACTGAGCCAATCAAATCCAAAGAGGAACTTATTTTCCATTGTGGATTTCGAAGGTTTAGGGCTTCTCCTATTTTCTCTCAGCACACTTCAGGTATTTATTAAATAAATCTCAATTTGGGTTCCCTTCAATGTTGCTCTGATATTACTTTTGTCTATTGTTTCCAGCCGACAAACACAAGATGGAGCGCTTTCTCAGGCCAGACGCCCCCACTGTTGTTTCAGTGTATGCTCCCATCACCTTTAATCCGGCTGGAGTCCTGCTGTTCAAACAACGAGACGATGGTGAGAGCTTTTGAATGAGTTTTATAGCCCCATGTGTGAATGTCTGTCATTGCTCTGTGGGATTCGAGATATCTTGGACTGGTCCTGGTTATTGATTTGGTGCTTTATCATTTAGGGGCCCAGGATCTTGTGGCCACAGGCAGTCTGCTGAGTTGTGATCCACAGCGTATTGTGCTGAAGAGAATCGTCATCAGTGGTCATCCTTTCAAAATCAACAGACGATCTGCAGTTGTTAGATACATGTTCTTTAATCGAGGTAAAGGTCTTGCACTGCGGCTTTTTAGAATAACCTAAAGTTAATTGCAGATCTAATCGTTTGGATTTTGTGTTTCATTTTAAAGATGATATCATGTGGTTCAAGCCAGTCGAGCTGCGAACTAAATGGGGTCGAAGAGGTCACATCAAAGAAGCTTTAGGTGCGATACTAACATGAGTGAATGAATTTGTTTTGGCTACTGTACATATTTATTTTTCCCTCTTCTCTTAGGAACCCATGGGCATATGAAGTGTGTGTTCGATAACCAGTTGCCTTCTCAAGATACAGTCCTTATGAACCTGTACAAACGAGTGTACCCTCGCTGGACCTTTGATCCGTTTGTGGTGCGCCCCTCACCCTGGGTCAAAAGAGAGGTCACTGTGGATATGCACGACTTTGAGGATATGGAGTGATGCTGCTGATGGACTAAATAAGTAATAGTAACATTTGAGCAAATAGCCTCTAAGAATTAAAACTTACCTGAAATCTTATCTTCTGACATTGTCGATTTTACTTTGGGTATATTCAACATTTCAGTGGCAGTGTTACAAGAGAACACTAGAGGGCAGTGAAGACTCATGAGCCACTGTCAGAAGTTCAGTTGTCAATGATATCTAAATTAATAGATTAATCACTGATTTGTAGTTCCTAGTTTTATTGACATATTTGTGAGTACCACATTTTGTGGTGCTACACAAACCTATAAACCTCACTTCTAAAATTGTGGCATGTCTCCTGAGCAGTTCAAGTATTTCGTTTAGAAATTGTGGTCCAATTTTTGTATAGACCTATTCCGTCTTTTCTGGTTGCACTTTGCTGTGGCATGTGGGAAGTATTGTTCTAAAAGTTGGAGTCCAAAGATATCAATGGACATCTAGCACACAGAACGCTGTAAGATTCATGATGTGGATATTATTTGAAAAAAACCAAATGGGTATTTTTCATAGATTAACTTTGTTGACTAAGCAGCATCGCAAGTTATTTGCCCTAAAGGTTTTTTTCTTTCTTATATTTAGATAATTGGAGGATACAGAAATTATAATTTGCAACTTAAATAATATCACATGAACAGATGACATGCTGACTGTCCCTACAGAATGTGCTGAGTTCCTTTTATTGCCACCACAGTAAGCTGAATGATGGGTAAAATGTTTCCATTAAAACAAAGAGATTGAAGATAAGAGGCAGTGGTGGAACGAAGGTCAGAATGCACAAGAAAGAATCTGGAAATGAAAAGTTAGTGGGTGAGAAAGGCAAAGAGGGGTGGAATGGGGAGTGAGAGTGTGGGCAAAGGGAGTTGGAGCGAGTGGCTGGCGTTTATGGGTTGCAGATGTGGCGCTGTGGGGCTTTGGCAGGGGCCGTGTTCCCTGGAATCGCGCTCAGGCTGGGTGGCACCGGGGTGAGAGGGAGGTCACCTTACCACTGCACAGCCCATAAAACACTCTGAGGGGGAGAGGAGAGAGGAGCACAAACCCCCACCGGCCTGGAACACTCAAACATCCTGTCCGGGATGAAAACGTATTACTTTTACTTTGAGCATCCTCCACTCAAACTTACATACATTATGTCCATCATGATAAGAGTTATCATTGTTATCTCCATATGATTTACACAAGAGGTTTAAACAAGTATTATATCACATTTGGGTGTAATAGACAAGTAAATGAATATTACAATAAGAGTGAACATAAATGGAACTATTTTATTTAATGAAGTGCATCTTAATTTAAAGAGGATTCAATCACAATGTTAGCCTTGCTAGATGGTAGGCAATCATATGTGTTTGTTTCTAATTATTCTTGGTAACCTGCCCTATAGCTACACTTGTTGAGTGTGGCATGGACAGCTGTAGTAGGGTCTGCATGATTGCATTCACACTTGCACATTGTGAATGAAGTTGAACTCACTAAATCTGTAGTTCCAAGACTAAAAATGTCTTTTACTAATCAGATTTCCGGTCCTCATATTAGAACTAATGTGTCCGTGTGCGCTTTTTTGTCTTCTGTCACATATAGGCCAGACTCAATACACCCAAGTGACATACATCAAGCCTTCATTTGTTATAATGTTGAGAATTGGCTCACAGCTTGTTATAAACCCAAACAAAACCTCTCAGAAATGTGACATGTCACTTTGCTAATGATTCTGTTTCACATGTTGGTTTTGTGTCCTTGGGCAAGACACCTAACCCCACTTTGCCCAAAGCCCCCACTGAAAGATCAAGGCTATGCTCACACTCAGAGAGCAGCCGTCCTCCTGTGGACTCACCACCTGCAGAGGGTCAGTGAGGGGCTGGTGCTATGAGACTTGGGTGGCATCTCTGACTGCCACCCCCCTGACCCAGAAATGGATTAAAGGGTAGAAAATGGATGGATGGATGGATGGATGTTGGTTTCCCATTTTAAGTTGCATTAGACATTTTGAACAGTAATTTTCTGAGTTTCACCTGGATTCTGACAGTTTCAACAGTCTTCCAAAGAACAAATGCATTTAAAAAGTGCATTTTGTTGAATCATGCGAGATATGGAAACATCCAGACCATTGTCCAGACTTATTTGGTCTATGGTCCAGACGCAGCTCCCTGTAAATCAAGATGAGGACATGTATTCAGTGTTCAGGATCATCATTAAGCGCATTTCATTTTGAAAAGCTACATGCAGTAGAGTTGTTTATTGAGGTAGGAACGCATTGCGGATTTTGATAGTGGAATTTAAAGCAATTTTATAGCAACAAATAATGATTCATTTCTGTTCAATTACTATTTGTTTAGAATTGAAACATACTGTTTTGATTCAGTTCTATGGATTTGTTTTACTTTGTATTTCTAAAGATATACAGTACATTATAATAACAAACTAAAGTGAAAATATTCAGACTAGAGTGAGTTTGATTGGACCATGTTGAAGAATTCATTACAAAATAATGTTTTATTGCAGATAGACCAATAGTGTACTGTAACTATATACTGTACATTTACAAAGACATTCTACTCCTGAAGTCAGACTGTAGAAGACACGGGCAACGTTTGTGTCAATTCCCTGACCAGGTCAGAAGGAACATCACATGACACTGGCAGAGAGAGACGATAAACACAGGTCTATAAGAACAAAAGTTACAACATTTTGATTTGACTGCAATCCAAACAATTCAACACAAGTACTCAAACTGACTATAGCTCAATCTGTCTATGTCACTCGTTCACGTTCTTTCCCTCCGTGTGACTGTCCTCGTTTCTTTCAACCGTTCTGGAGCCCAACACCACAGCTGCAGCTCCATCAGCCTCCTCTCTTCTCCTCCACAAGAATCAGCCCTGGCATTCTCCCCGCGGCTGCCATTAATCAGATGAGAGGGTTGGGGTATATATCTGCACGTGAGACGTCAACTGTATTTATGCCAATCCCCGCTCTGGTGCTGGGCTGATGTGTTGTTGCTGATGGTATGGAGACCAGGACCTCACAACAAAGCCCTGGGTTCACCCAGAGAACACTGGTGGGAGGGAATGCCTCCGACACAGGCCCTGATGGTGTGCACATTCGGCTCTGTCAGGAGCAGGAAGAGACTAGTCAAAGAACAGCAAAGGGTTGTATCTTTGGACACCAATTTTGAACTATTTTTTATATATAAAGGTTTGTTGTATCCAATCAAGACATATTGACAGTATCTTTCACTTTTACAAGACCTTAACTCTCCTTGTTTCAAAAATGCCTTTTTAGTGACTTTCGTAAAAAGAGGGGCGAGTCCATTTGAAGTATGCTAACACTTTTTAGAATATTGCATTTAACTGTGTAATTAGAAACAATGAAAACGTGAAATGCGCTATAAAAATAATTTTTTACTCACTAAAAAGAGCCCTGGTGAAAACAAAAATAGAAGGAGCGAGTTAAATATCGTTTTTTTAAAAAGGGGAAAAAAAGTTAAAAGACACAGCACGAGCACAGGCCTGATGCTGTAAACTATATTTACCATAAAAACAAGTCAACATTTAATGTCAGCTATACATTTACAAAACACAATTAGAAAAAGGTTCTGGGTATACTGGGTAAAATAAGGACATTTGAAAGAATGTTTTAATTGTGCCTTCACTTGGCACTGACGCTTCAAATGCAAGACAATATTTTTATGTCTGTAGTTGTCTTGTGCACACTGGGGACTTTTGCAAATGTATTCCAATGTGGTTTTACTGCAAATGGCAAATAAATGAATCTGAATCTGAATATAGAATTACATTAATATTAAGAAATCAATGGAAAGTTATATATTGGCACGAGAACACGCTCATATACCGATGTTATAAAAGCCAATATATACATACAAATAATACAAGTATTTTGTCTCTGGAGTTTGAGATAGTGTTGTTTATGACTAGTGGGAGTGAAATTAAAAACACACACAATTTCCAACCTGTTCAGCGTTGACCCCCTTGCGGGCCTCCCATGCAGAGTGCTTTTGTGCTGACATCAGTGCACTGAGACCTGGCAACCCACTCTCTCCTCTTCTCCCCTCGCCATGCTTCCTGCCCTGATGATGTCACACACCATATGGTTTTCAGCAGTATCAAGCCGGAAAAGAGATTTGGGAAAAGGAGCAAAAAAAAAAGTAAGACTGAAAGAGCGTGCATTGGACAGAGAAAACAAAAGATTGGCTCGTCCCCTCGAGTGTGAGCTGTGACTGAAGCCGTGGAGAAGGAGAGAAGCTGCTCTGTGTGAGGCTAATGAGGAGAGACCAGGGAGCAAAGACCACGCAGCAGAAAAGCATGTGCTAAACAGACGCCCAACACACACTTCAATAACCCACATTTACAAATGCTCCAATGGAAAACAAACATTTGGTGATACAAAGTAATGGAATTTCATTTTCATATTTACAGTCAACCCCATGCAGTAGCTGTACAGCTTTCCTCTCTGCAATTAGTGTCAGGGAGTTTAGAACCATTTGTGTACAGGTGAAACACTGAAAATTAAAGTATTGTACAAAGTATAGTATAGTATATCTCATTAAATACAGAGTGGCTCTATTTCAAGCCTGATTATGGCTTATAGTCCATTTTCAAAATATTCTTCTTTTTCTGAGATTTTTTAATTGGGGTTTTTACAAGCTATGAATCATAATTATCAAAACTCAGCAGATGAGCAATGTGGGGCTGTAGGAAAACCAAGTGCCACAGTGAAACATGCAAACAGTTCTTGAGTCCTTAGGCAAGGCATTTCCCCCCACATTGTCTATGAATTGAGTCAAAACGGCAAACCTTTTAAAATTTGCTGTTACAATTATTGGCAGATTAACCTTTAACCCTTCAAGGTCTAAGCTCATTTTGGGGAACTTTCCTTGCCTGGTTTTCTTTGTGTATAATTGCTCATAAAATAGTCATCTTGTGATGCAGAGTCAAGCAGTAAACTTTGTTTTTTTCAGTACA